ATTCCTGCTATCTTGCCGCAATTGCCGCTTACTACGCCAAGTATGTATATGTATATATATATATATCATTCTCTCTTCTTCGATATGATTTCGATTGCTCCAAACGATAGAATTTACGGTCCAAGCCAGTGACTGTATAAAGTCGGGAATCTGAGGGTGTTTTTCGATGTTTCAAAGGGAAGTAGAGGCGGGACTAATGGAGTACAAGCCGGAGATCATCATAAGCGTTCATCCTCTGATGCAACACATTCCTGTGTGGGTTCTCAAATGGCAAGGACTTCAGAAGAGAGTCCTCTTCGTCACCGTCATCACCGATCTCAACACCTGCCATCCTACATGGTTTGCCAGCGATCCTATTATTTCGTTCTCTTATTATGTCTGAAAATTTTGTCACTTGTAAGATTCTTACAGATTGATCAATCTCAAGAACCAAGATTCTATGTAGGTTTCATCCCGGCGTCAATAGATGCTACTGCCCTTCAAGCGAAGTGGCCAAAAGGGCGTCAGTCGACGGCCTCGAGGATTCACAAATCCGCGTTTTTGGGTTGCCAGTGAGGCCATCTTTCGCACGGGCGGTTCTTGTCAAGGTGGGTTATATATACAAATACGCGAGTGAGGATAACGAGTGATTTCTTGTTCAATCCGAATCTTCTCATAACATATTTGTGGTTTGATATAGGACGAGTTAAGAAAAGAGCTCGATATGGATCCTGATCTTCGTGCGGTTCTGTTGATGGGAGGAGGTGAAGGAATGGGTCCGGTGAAAAAAACTGCGAAAGCTCTCGGGGAATCATTGTATGACAAAGAAAACGGCAAGCCGATCGGGCAAATGATCATCATATGTGGCCGGAACAAAGGGCTGGTCTCGACTTTAGAAGCAATGGAATGGAAGATCCCTGTTAAGGTAACAATCTCTACTCTAAGTATCAAATCTTATCTCAAGAATCGAGAATCCGAAAGCTTTCTTCCCCAAAACGTTCCGAAAACGAATAAACTCGGGTATTTCGGACACGACAGGTTCGAGGTTTCGAGACCCAAATGGAGAAATGGATGGGAGCCTGTGACTGCATCATTACAAAAGTACGAAACAATGATCCCGAAAAAAAACCCTTTTCATATCTTCTTGTCTTCATCACTTATTCACGCCGCATTCGTCCGTTTGTTCAATCTGAAAATGTCCTCACAGGCAGGTCCTGGAACAATAGCCGAAGCATTGATAAGGTCTCTTCCAATCATCTTGAACGATTACATCCCGGGACAGGTCGGTTTCTATCGATTCTTGAATCCAATTATCCATATCGAAAACTCCCTAAAACCGCAAAAAACCGGAAACAGGAGAAGGGAAACGTGCCGTACGTGGTGGAGAACGGTGCAGGAGTTTTCACCCGAAGCCCGAACGAGACGGCGAGGATAGTGAGCGAATGGTTCAGCACAAAGACGGAGGAGCTGAAGGAAATGGCTGAGAACGCAAGAAAATTGGCGCAGCCTGAAGCTGTCTTCGACATTGTCAAAGACATTCATGAGCTTTCTGAGCAACGCGGCCCCCTCGCTAATGTCTCTTACACTCTTACCTCTTCTTTTGCTAGCTTAGTCTAGCTAGTGCCTATGCATATATATGTATACATACATACATACATATATACATGCGTATATGTATATGTAATATGTGTGCAGTTTCTTTATTTTGTCTATTCTAAATCCTTCTTTTGTCCTAAAGGTTTTTGAGATTTAGGAAGATTGAGGTCTCTGTGTTGCAAGATTTTGTTTGAGTCTGTTTTTTTTTAAATTGTTTTTTTTTGGTAATTTGGTGTAATTTTATTTCTTTCTAGCTATTTGTCTTGTGACCATTTTTTGTTCAAGTATTTATTAAAATAAGTATCTAATAAGAGTTCTATAATATTATTCGAATATTGTATCATAAATAAATATTATTGGATTTTCTGATTTTCAATAAAAAAAAGGAACATATTTATATTAGAAATTGGTGTTATATATATATATATATATGTCAAGGTATTTTGTAAAACAATTAGGATAATTTTGTGACTTTTGTAAATTTTAATGAATAAATAAGGTATTTTTGTAATTATGTGAAATCATGAGATCCAAACCCAATTTAAATATAATTTCGATTAACAAATTCGAATTATTCAAATATCCGAGTAATTTTCTCCATCCTACCTGGTCAAACTATCAAATTTAATTTCCCAAATCATATAAAAATGGTTTTGTCCTCCCGAGAAAATTTCATTATAATTACACAATTATTCAAATATTCAAGCGAATTTCGTAATAAAAGATGAAATTCAGTTCTTGCAATCATTTACGAATATATAAAACAGATTAATTTGTAAACACGCGCAATTCACTAACTCTCTTTTCAGGGTTACAGATACAGTCGCTCTTTTTTTTTCTCTCTGAGAATTTACAGATTAACATAAAAGAAAAAACGCGATCTCTCTATTCCATGGGTTGAGGGTTTGAAATGGAGAAGACGATCACCTGAACTGCACGTGATAGTGTTTCTTTACACCCAGAGGATTTCCTGGCCAATTACTCTTTTGCCCTTAATAATCGTAATAAAAGAGTAATTGGCTGGGAAACCCTCTGGATGCTCTAGTGTATTTCACGTTATAGTGTTTCTTTACGTTCATGTTATTACTATATAAACATGCATGCATGCATTTATGGAATTAAAGTGATATAAATTCTAAACAAAGAAAATTTAAAATCCGTAAAATGAATAATGAAAGCAAAAAGAATCATACATATGCAAGAAAATAGCAATTTTCCGCTTTTTTTTTTTTGTTGCAAATGATACGGGGGAATTGCATTAACCTAAATGCTTATTTTTTTTTAATATTCTCCGATCCTACAACTTATTTATTTCACAGAAACAGGGAGTTGGTTCCATATATTATTACATTACACAACAAGCAGTGTTTACTGACATCTTCTTGTCCGAAACACTTCAACCAGTGGAAGCCTTCTCGTTCTTCATGATCATATGGAACGATTTCACTCTATCTTCCTCCACGATCTCTCTGAGAACGTCGTCTTCGATCTTCTCGGCTTGCCACAACGACGGGTCCTCCACGAATTCCTCGCTGAAAATCATACTCGACACCCACTCGTTCCACGTCGTTCTCCTGTACTTGTCTTCCTCGAGCGTCCCCCGGGCCAAGAGTTGGTAGACGTACACGACCTTTTGCTGTCCCGGCCTGAAAGCTCGAGCTATGGCTTGCTTCGTCTTCGAAGGGTTCCACTCCGAATCCAGCATGATGACCCGAGAAGCAGCGGTCAGGCTGATGCCTTCCGCGCAAGCCGTGATCGAGGCAAGCAACACACGTGCCGTCCCGCCCGGTTCTTCGAACTTGTCGATGACCCTTCCTCTCTCGAAGAGCTCCAGATCTCCCGTCAGTGTCAAGATCTCTCGACCTCTCCGCCACCGGAAAACGTTCTCGAATAGCTCGAGGAACAGGTTGATCGGGGCAATGTTGTGGCAAAAGATCAATATTTTCTCTCGTTTAACCACCCGGAAGACGAGGTTTAGCACGAACATGACCTTCGACCCTTTCTTCGCGTCGTACTTGAGCCTCTCGATGTCTGCGAGTTCTTGAGGGTTGAAGAATTTGCTGACGCAGGTCGACGTTTTTATCAGCCATGGATGAATAGCTGCTAACGTTATCAGAAGCTCGAGCTCGAGGGGGTATCCATGGAAGGTCGACATTATGTTCTGAAGCTTCATCAAAACCCGATGCTGTACATCGGTGGAATTCATCAACAACGTGTATATCTGCAAACCCGGGAGTACATCTCCGCTCCCGTTTCCTTCGTAAACATCGATGAAACCATTGGTCATGTTCCGCAACATGTTCAGACCCTGATGCCGTTCCTCTCCGACGCTCGAATCGATCTTCTTGGCAATGATATCGAGGAAGAATTTCCGAGCTCGGTTCTCCAGCAAGTGAGGAGCTTTGTTCACACCTTGGTTGGTCTTGAATTTCTGGTCTAACTCCATTAGAATCTCATGAACAAACTTGGGTCTAGCCAAGCAAAGCGTGTTGAAGTACTCGCAAAAATTGTTCTGAAACAACGTACCCGAAAGCAGTATCCGTAAATCGGTATCGACTTTCATCAACGCCTTGCGTAATCTCGATTTTGTGCTTCTCGGGTTGTGCCCCTCGTCTAGAACCAGTAGCCCCGGGCTCTCTCTCAACACCTTAGCCATGTATTTCCGGTGAGCTAACTTCGAATCCTCCCTCATCAATGTCTGAAACGACGAGTATCCCATGACGAGAACGCTCGGATTAGAGTGCCATTTCTGTATCTTGTCTAAGCAGTCCAGAACATGCATTACGTCTTGGCTCGGTTTCGGGAAACCTTTGATCGGAATCGGGTTCTGCTTCAAAACGCAGTAGGTTCTCCGACCGTGGATCAGATGCACCGGTACCGGAATTTCCCACTTGATGAACTCTTTGTACCATGTGTACAAGGTTGTCTTCGGGGCAAGAACTAACGGTCTCTTGCCCGGAAAAAGCTTCAAGTAGCTAGCGAGGAAAGCGATGATCAGGAAAGTTTTCCCAGCCCCAGGGGAATGAGATATCACGCAGCCACCAATATTATCCGAGCTCGGGTCCATTTCCGCAGGTACCATGGCCCCTGCGAGGTTTCTCCATAGAAACTCGAAAGCTCGTTTTTGGTGCAAATGCAATTTTCTTTTAAGTTCGGGTATCAGCGACCAGACATTGTCGTTTTCTTCTCCCAAGGGTAACTCCGAGGATGAAGCGTGATCAGCGGACATATTCAGATCCTCGGTGTTCCTGTCTTGCCCTACATTGGTCGTCCTGATATCATCTTCATCGATCTGCTTTTTCTCGGTGGTCCATTTCTTATGTTCGGCCTGCAGAAACGAAACCATGACACGGAAGAGTTTGTTAATTCGACGGAAAAGTGATGAAATCAGTTATCAGTAATGTTTTCGCATCAAAGGGTTTTTAACTTACAAAAGGTGCGGAAACATGTTTTATCTCTGTTTTGATGTGTCCGCATAACCTGCACAGTAGCCCGATTTCTTCATCCAGTCGATAATCGTGTTCGCAGCCCCCGTTCGATTTTTGGATCGCCTCGTTGTCAACTCTCGCCTGAAATTCCAGTTCCGGACTCAGATTAAACAGACAGCTGCAACAAGTTAACCCAATGGGTTTGTATAGTTTTAGGATATCAAAGTTCGAAAAGAGCATACCTCATTGTCATCGAGGATGTAACTCGAAGCCAAGCAAAGTTCCATTTCTCTCCACAACATCTCATTCTCCGATGTCTCTCCATCGTCTTCCTCACTCGAGGTTTCGTCGTTTTCTCCATTCTGTTTCGAGGACGCTTTCACCTTCTTCAACTCTTCCCACTGCTCAACAACATTAGTTGGCTCGTCCTTAGCAGCAATCGTCGAATCAATGTTCTTCATATACGAATCGATCAGCTTATTATAAGCACCCGCACTTAACGTTTTCTTTGTATGGATCTTTGGCCCGTCGATATCGTCTGTTTTCAGAACTATGGAGCGGGAATGCGATTTTCTTCTCTGAACCGATTTCCCGATGCTGCCTTTCCAACACAGATCAGATTCCATTTCTTCCAAATCAGACATCAGTTTTTTCCCATGCTTCACAGCTTTACTACGATACTTATCTATCGCTTCCATATAATTACTCCTCGAGAAACCACCACCCCAAGAATCGGCATTGAGACCAAACTGCTCGAGAGGTATGGGTTCGAACGTCGGAGTGAAAGGAATCATCGAAAGTTCGGACTTACCTTCTCTCCGGCCATACATTCTTCCCGTGTTCTTCGTTTTCTCCCGACCTTCCAGTAGCAGAATCCGTCCTTTCTTGTCCTTACTCGACGCTTTCGTGTTTCCCTTGTCCCGTTCTTGAGGAGCTCTTCCCTTTTTCCCGAACAAATGCGACAATGGCACATACAAATCATCGTCATCCTCTCCATCCTCGTCATCATCCTCGACATCATACTCGATATCTTCCTCGTCTATACTCCATTTGTTATACCGATATGGCATCATCCGAATCCAACCTTCATTTGAATCAAGACTGCAGCCCAAGAATCTATCCGGCCTTACATTTCTTCTTTTGGACCGACGTAGCTCTATTACCCCGTCGTAAGGGTAAAGATCGGTTTCTTGCTTAACGATGGGACTTTCGGTTTCCTCCTCAACCGTATCCGCAGGGTTGAATTCGACAACTTTAGATAACGAAACGCCATTCTGCACTGTGAAATTCACAGCATGCATAGAACTACTTCCTTCGCCGTATTCGTTATCGGTTATAATCTGGTAAACTAGCTTCTCTCGGATCGTTCTTATGTGAAACGAAATCCGTTTCATGACTGATGCGACGAGTAACCACGAAAGGTCGGGCAAGAACTTGCCTAACGTTAGCCTTGTTTTCACGAGCAAAGGACAATCCTCGGAGAAGTGCCACCTGTAAGGTCGGTCCTCGCTCTGTTGCTTGAAAAACTTCTGGAGGATGGAAATATGATTTAGGCCGACAATTACAGGATCTCGATTCATTCTTACCTTCTCCGACCCGATGCAGCCTTGATCGATGTATATGTTGATGTAAAACTTGCACGAGCATTCGGATTCATGGGGATTCCTCTCTATCGAAACGATCTTAGCATCGACCCAAACCTACACTTAAGAAAACATTGGGAGATTTAGTATCGAAATTGAACATATTCCACCCGAGAAAATGATGATCTCGAACATGAAGTCTGTGAAGTTTCTAATCAGTTTCATCACGACCATGCATTGAAATTTGAAACAGAATTGAAGAAATTTCGAAACTTAAAACTATATCAAGAAATTGTAGCGGGGCAAACCGGTTCAAGGTCATGTTCCAGAGTTTCTTTGTCAGAAATGCCTATTCTCCGGACAGGATACAGAACACAAACATCAATACCGGGCCTTAGAAAGCAGGTACAGTCGACCAAATTCGCCCTTCTTGACCTTAAACGGAGCCTCTGGAAAGCGCGTTTTCCGTCTATCATATACCCGTTATCCGAGAAATGCATCGCCATCATCCCGTCCTCGATCTTTAAGTGATCCACACCCTTCCATGTTCCCGAGCAGAACGCCTCGAAAGCTGCCAACACGAACTCCAGTAAATAAACGAGATTGATCATAAAAAAAATGGTTTGAGTTTAAAATATCTTTCAATGAATTCTCGGGTAGAAGGCCATTTGCATAATTTCGAAAAACTAATTTCACAATTTATCGAAAAAATTGAGTTTCTACTATTCTAGGAGCAACTCACTTGCTGGCGGAAAGATTCTAACAGTGGAAATAACTTTTACGATGAAAAAACCAAAGTAAGAACATGATCAAGAACTGCTTAACTCAAGTCATGACAGAACAGGTCTATGAGTTGTTTTAGGACAACAATCCGAAACTTTAGGTGTGCATTCACAACATTCCGAACTCCTAAATCAGCATATAATCACCGGCGAAAAATAATATCGGAAAAAGGGAAACGTTTTCAAGAACTTACAACATGGATCAAATGGATGTTTCGACTGATAAAGAAGCCTTTTCTTCATTTCTTATCCTTTTCTCGATCAATCGTTATTATTTCCACCAACAATCCTGCAATTACGTGGAGATATCGACGCATCAACCGTGCAACAAAACAGATGTATTCACTTCTTGGTATCAGCTCAAACTTTTACCAGAAACAGAAACTAAGCCTACCAGTTAAAGAAACGTTGAATGAAAACTTTATTCTCTTTCAGGATTTATCGAAAAAGGTCGTTAACGTAAAACCTAAAAATCAACAAATTAATTTAGAGCAGCCAGTTATGGAACCCTAATAGTCAGGAATACATCTATATAACTACTGATTTATCAACTCATTGGCATCTACCTAACGTTCTGCTCCAAGATTATAGGAAAATGGTTTTTACGTCATGTAGTTTTTAGTCTTTCACATGTCTGGTTTAGCTGTTGCTCCATGTAACATTCATGGGTTTTAGTTTCACACAACTTAAGTAGATGGATTGATCTGATTCTACGACGTGAAAAAACAGTCACAAAACCCCGTACTACCCATTTGAATAAAGTAATTACGAATGAATATATTTTATTAGATTAAGCAAACCCCGCTTAGACTTCTTAGACTGTTTGTTGCTTCGCCCTCTTTCATCTGATTCTACTGTAGAACATCAGCACCAACATCATCAATGCCACCATCATCATCATCTAAGCTTGTCTGAACCCGATCAAACAAGCGACGAAAGTTCAAACCAAGAATTACTCTTAATAAAAAAAGACCAACCCAATTCGTATTCCCATCTAGTGGGAGTGCTGGGGAAGGGAATATACTAGGCATTCGAACAAGAATTAGTAAAAAAAACCCAAACATGTAAGCTGTCTGAATCATTATGTTACTCTGTCAAAAAACAGTTTCTCGGTTCGATCGACGAAACACAGATGTCTTTTTCAGATGCAAAACAATAAAAAATCAACAAAATGATTTGGGTCTGACTAAAAAAACATCATTTTCATCACCATGATCATGAATCATCATCTAAAAAACAGAGAACCCAATGAAGAACAAGCAAAACCCAGATGGAAAACAATCACAGATACGCATGAAACGTTAACCAATGATCAGACTCAGACAAGAGTCTCTGATGAAAATCACCTGTAAGAACAGATTCCGATTGTCGAATGCAGACCCAGGTCCTCGTGAAACAATCTGAGTACGAGAAAGTAACAAACAGAGGTCAAGTTGATGAAAAAGTTGAGAAAAACGACGATTTTTTAACTGACCACTCCACAATTCGAGGCAATGAATCGATTGAAAAGATGAATGCACGAAAAAGACAGCGGAAAAGGGCGGAGAATTCAATACGCAACAGTCTGAGAATCTCGGGGACTGTGTAACTTTTTGCATGGATTCGTTCAGAGAGAGAAAGAGGAGATTGACAACGAAAAGGGAGTGAGTGCACGAACTAAAGAGAGAATTGGGGGTTAAGGAAGGGTAGTTTGGTCATTTAAGAGGACATGGGGTTGATTCCTCTTGATCCTTTACTATAAATTCAACGGCAAAGATTTGATCTTATATATGGGGTCCACATAGTAAATGTATTTATACAGAAATTTATGGAATTTCAGAGGAAATTCATGTGAATTTTTTTAATCTAAAAAATAAAATAGGTACGAGTAATCTTATATTACATCTCCTGCACCTACATTTTTTACTCAAATCTAAATTCTAAATTTTATTTTTTTAAAATGCTAGATTTTAAATTCTAAACGAATTCTAAACAATCAAATCTTAAATTCTAAATCGAGAAATCTTAAATTCTAGACTATATTCTAAACTCTGGAATTAGTTTACAATTTAGAATTTAAAGATTATAAACGAGGAATTAGGATATAATGCTTAATATATTAAAAGTAAAGTTAAATAAAAAAGAAATACTTTTTTAAATGGTCCAATAAAATTTGTAAAAGGATTTGTAGACAAAATTGTAGGAGGATATAACATTACTAGTAATACATTAATTTTTCGAATTCTACACCAATTGAATTAAAGAATGAAGTCACGAGGGTTTTTGCAGGGTGTCAATTTTGGTACGAGTCCGGCTTAACCCAAAAAATAGCGGGCTTTGAAATGAGATATTTAGGTCCGAAACTTTTTGGGTTTTTTGGATCGGACCAGATCGGACTTCGGACCGGGTCTGAAAGCCCGAATTTAAAAAAAATAAATAAATTTTAAAGAGTAAATTTAGCGGACGGGGCCAAGCCCGAAATCAATAGGACCGGACTTCGAGATTTGTTATTTAAGCCCAAACAATCCGGGTCGACCCAAGCCCGAATCCGAAACCCTTGGACTAAGTGTGGGCTAGGGCCGGCCCGACCTTATTGACACCCTATCGTTTTTGGGGTTTTTAATAATCATAATGACCACCCACCCCTACTTGGCAGAACTAACCTTTTAAGTTGTTGAATCTGATAATGAATCTGTCCTCGTCTCGACAATGACATTTTTTAATGTGTCGGAACAAGCTTCCGTTGCCGCCAGCAATTCCACGAGCAAGCGAGGAGAAGCGAAGTACATATGGAGCGACATCATGCATATGATTATACCCAAGAAAAGCTGTATATGTAGACGCAACCATGGTAAGATATTGGGGAAAAAACATATATGCGTAAGTATATACGTATAATATGAGAAGATAATACGTACCTGCATCGTAGGTTGAAAGTTGAAAAGATATATAGACGCAACCATTGTCAGCAGCATCGCCATTGATGTAGAACAAACCTTGAAGAACGAGCAAGAAAACCCATAAGAGGTTTGATAAACTTTCTCGTGATTATATGAACTCTATATCTCTCTCTCACGCGGTTTGATTATCCAATGAGTTAGTTACCTTTACAATATTGTCGGCATACTTCATTAACCGAGAGACGGGTAAGCTGGTGGATCCGAGATTCAGAACCACCATCCATGTAGTGGCGCATACCCATCGAAGAGACGCTGCCACCACGGACCCTTTTCAATCCCAAGTCTGAAATCATCTGCCAGAAGACGGGTGGCGTTAAAGAGTGAACCAAACCTGGAAAAAACAGAGAATAATATATAGTCACACCATGCAAGAACGGGAGGAAGAACGAATCTCAAACATCGTTCATGATTTCCCGGAGTCCTCAAGAATGGGAAAACGCCTTGACAGATTTCTCAAACCTATCAGAGTCCAAGTAGAATACTTTTGGCATGAGAAAGAAAATTTAATGTGAAAGAAGAGATAGATAGATACCTACGTATATAATTGCAAATTTTGCGAGTACAAGTTGTCATTGTTTCTCTTCATTAGAAACTCTATGTAGATGCCTGCCAGAGCCACAAACCAGCTAAGAGGCAGCCCAACATGTACCCTTGAATCGATGCCGTGAATAAGGAATCACATGAAGCTTCTCCACAACCCTTAACCTAAAATAAAAGGACAAACGAAAAATTTCAATCCTTTTTATCATAAGATGTGGTATCATAAGTTTTCTCGTGATATAAACTCGGTGTTCCATTTATCTACAAACATCATTGTCCAAAACCAGTACAACCGATAAAGGGACAATATCATATACATTTTAAGATGAATGTAATCGGTAGCACATCACCTGACTGGTAGTTGTCCCAACAGCTAGTTGCCATCCACTGAAGAGTAGACAATTTCCTCTTTAAGAATAACATAAATTAGCAACCGATTAGGAAAAAACCGCTAAACCTAAAAGGCAATTGACAGAATGGAAACAAAACCATTTTAATATTGTCGGGTTTTTTCCTTGTATGGGATAATACCAAGAGGAAAGGACGAGGCACACACCTAAATAGTATTCCGGGGGTGACAAATCTTCAAATTACCCATTATCTGATTATAAGTTGAGGTGTCCACATAGGTTAATGTAGCGAATTGCACGTTGTTATGGATTAGAGATATGATGGAAGGAACGACAGATAAGCGCACACTCTTCCATTCCGTAGTTATCGTTGATGAGGGAGATGTCTGAATCTCTCTCCAGAGAAGTAAACTAGAAACCAGTTGCATTTGAAGTAACACAAATCCAATCATTAGTTATAAATTTATTTTAACAGATAAATTGGCTTATCAGGACAAAAAAAATTACCTTAAAAAGCTCAGCACGGTTCCATAGTCATACTTATAACCTCCATCACTTTGAGAAAGAGTTGTTAAAATTCCCCGAGACACGGTGATAGATGGAAAGAAATCAACGATTTGGAAAGCAAATCTCCCATCTTATTTTCTGAAATCAACCTCAAACCCAATCCGGAAACAAAGACAGATGATTTTCCATCCAAATGCTATAACTCAAAACCCCTCTATGTTTCCCTTGGTAACAACCACTAAACTCCTACATTTATATCGAATGTTCGATCAAATCACGCAATTCCATCTTCTCCACCAAAACGCAAGCACAAACCGAAACATACATAATCAATCCTATTCATAAAGCTTGGACTAGAAAAACTAGCCACCGCTGAAAGATATGAACCCGAAATCTCAATAAAGCATCAATACACTTGTGATTATGTATGTTTCAGTTTATGCTTCTCCACCTAAGTCACAAGGACAAACTGATACATGCAGAATCAAATCCTATTCAATAAAGCATGAACTTGGAAAAACTAGCCACCATGGAAAGATATGGATCCAGAAAATCTCAATAAACACCCATTGGAACATCCCATTGTGCTGAGTCTTATATTTCCAATGCATTGCACAAAACATATCATTTTCATCATATTACTCCTCCAAGCCATGAAAACTACGGTAACTTGCAAACAACACTTCTGCAACATGATTCATGCAGAAGCTGTGGCAGACAGTATCACCACTCATGAGACAGAAAACGAACTCGAACTCTGAGCTTGATAACGTAACCAGCGACAGGTTTAACTAAGAATAACATAGGATTTGGATCCGAACCTGAGAGCTCGTGAGAATGGTCAGAAATGCAGCGACAAAGTACCACTTCATTGTTCTCTTCTCTGTGTCCCCTTCGTCGTCCAATACTTTTTCTTCTTCTTCAGTTCACACAAGCTTCCATTGTAGAGCTCTTCCTAGGTCACTATTTCCCTTCCCCTGAAATCATCCCATCAGATTGCTCATTGTTTCTGCTCAAAACCAAAAAAAAAAACTCACACGAACAAATCCAAGTTAACTGAAGAAGAAGGGGGAAGGGGGCAATCACTTGAACGATTGAAAACGATCGAGAAATCAAGATGGTAATCGGATTCAAACCATCGAAAAAAACGGAACACGAACATCGAAACATCATCCACGACGGAACACCCCAGACATCAAAATTCTGCTTACGAGTCCGCATTTGGCATGTACGCTAGATCAAAGATGAAAGCCAAAGGCCAGATTTGGGCCTCAGCTTGATAATGGACTTACCCAGTTAATGGGCCTGGTCGTGCATCGCTTTGGAAAATCGCAAGTAAAAAACGAATTCAAAATGTATTATTTATTTTAAAAAAAATTAAAATCTTGGGGTTTTCGACCGTTACCCAATTTTTGGATTTATTTGGACAATTTTACCCTTAGGTCTGTTAAGCTACTTGTGTAATTGAATCTGCAAAAAAAAAAAATCTCAAACGAATAGCCACCATTTCAGTGACCCAACAAATTCATTGAACAAACAAAAACATATACATATACAAACATATATACACATACACAGTAGAGATACAGCAATGTATTTGCATATATGAATCGTTGTCGCATATATCCCGATATCAATCTCTAAATACTTGTTAACCTTCAAAATCCGTTTTCACCCACTTCACGTGTTTGCCCGTCTTCTTGTCTTCGAGATCCATACCCTCCGGTACGAACCCTTCTTCGACCGTAGCAACCCGTCCGCTGTATTTCCGAGCCATAGACGCGGATTTTTCGGCCTCGAACCCTTTGAATTCCCTCACCCAGATACAATGCAACACCCAACTCGTCACCAGAACCATGATCTGAACCAGAACCATCGCCATGAAAACCACGCATTCAAATCTCACCAACGCTTTCGCCTCTCTCGGGTCCCGAATCGATTTCAGCGCGGAAAGGCACTGCCTTTCTCTAGTGAACAACGCTACGACGGTCAGAAACTGACCCACCAGCAGTGACGAGAGAAGGGTCAGACGATAGACGAAGAACGAGTGGGAAATGCACGGAATGAGACCGGCGAGAGAAGAGAGGAAAGAGATTAGAGCGATGGCGAGGATGGCGAGACCGAGCGGGCGCGGAGGGTTTCTGAGAAGAACGATGGGTGGGACAGAGAAGAGGGAGAGGAAGAGGAGAGTGAGATTCAGACATGTTACGAGGATGTTTGGGAAAGAACATGACTTTCTCAGGACTGTTGTCGACGCCGCCATTTTTTTTTTTTTTTGTGGTTGTCTGGGTTTGAAGTTTTTTGAAAAAAAATTGGGCTTTGATAGTTTAAATAGAGAAGACGCGGAATGTGGCCGTTGGAGAAAAAGCGTAACGGCTATTATGAGAGTTTGAAATTTGTAGGCTTCTGTATTTTGTTTTTGTATGAACATATCTCAACGGAAATAAAATTAAAAAGGTCCTACGATTTTGAAAAATAATATAAATAATATAATCATAAACAATTGGACCGCAATGATGAATTACTGAATTCCGAGAAAAATCTAATTTTTAACGAAAACAAAAGTAGAATATTCGCACAAAAACATAATTTATAAATCCTTTTGATAAATTAAGCAAAGAGGTGTATATTTTACTTTTCTATTTTTCAGTATTTTAAGGAAAAAAAAATCAAACTTTCAATAGGTCATATAATGCACATTTAAATTTTTACATTTTTAAAAAAAAAAGTGAAGAAAAAAAAAACAATCTATATTCCTTCATCACGATTTTCCCAAAACTACAAAAACACAACCACAAACCAACAAAAAAATTAAAAAAAAAACCATACCATTGTGACCCAAAAAAATACAAAATCATCAAAATAAAAAAAAATGAAAGAAGAAAACTTCCGCGCTTTGTGCAGGGAAGATTCTCAGAAAACCACTAAAGTTGCAGAGCTTCTTCTATGGTATCTTTTCTTGCACCTCCTTCATCATCACCACCCCAATGGCGACAATGCCCTCGTCGTCTCCGATAACGACGGCGGCGGTTTAAAAGAATGAAAAATCAACTCGGCCTCTCGACAAGGAGATCGAGTTCGACAAGGGAAAAAAATGGAGCGGAAACGAATAATATACACAGAAAGGAATTACGCGTTTTTACTGTCTGTATATGCAGCACGGGAGATGCCGAGCTTTGTAGGTCTTGTCTGGACGGCATTTCCTTGTCCTATTCCTTGCGTGTGAGTAAGAAACCGAAACCCGAGTTTTCCCGGACGAGCTGAGGAGGGTCGACGTCGTTTATATCAACTTGTTGCATCGATTTTGATATGTCTTCCACCGTGAAGGGGATGCTGCATTTCGATCGGTTGCTCAGAGTGTTGAGAGAAGGAATGGAACGCGGCATGAAATCGAAAGGTATAAGACGGAAAGTACGAGTACGAGAAAAAGAAGTATACCTGGAGTCGTCGTCCAAGAGGAAAGAACTGCTGACTGCATTGTTGGAATCCTCCGTCATCATGACTCTCATGTTTGCAATAACCTATGGTTTCGGAGATCGGACAAAACAGTTAATAGTAATATTACCGACAAAAGATTGAATCTTTAGTTGTATTTTAGAAGTTTTACTATGACCCACTGGAGAAAAAAACCGTTTTTTTTTCTTGTCAGGCGATACTTACATCGGAAGAGACACTATGCGTGCCATATTTGTCGTCCCAATACATCGTGCTGATTCTGTATAGCTGCTGTATACTTAGGACCTAACCGAAACGCAGCAGAATTTGATGTCATTTCAAAGAAAATAAAGAGTGAATCGAGGAAGGACGACTTGAACGAGTAGAAGAGAGAGGATGAGAATACCGGGCAGAGGTCTCTCGTTATTTCATCTAATGTCTTTTTCGGCTTTTGATGAATGACCTGAGCAGAGAAACCGAAAGAAACTAAACTAAAGCCAAAACACAATTTTTATAAGACGTCAAGAGAGTGAAAGCAGAGGGCATAAAATTTACCAGGAAACCAACAGCTTGTCTAATATGCTTCAACTCATCCCATGCCGAGCCAGCATACTGCAAAAAACAAAAACACCCCGAAAATTTACGATTAAAAAGACATGAAAATGTTACAGCGATGTGGAGGAAGGACGTAAAAATGAGTTACACTTATACCTCTTCGGTTGCCTCTCGGCACCATTGCTCTAATTCAGCCAAGCCTGCTTTAACATACTCCCCGTTGCTGAATGAGCAACATTCACGACGTAGAAGAAGACTGCACGGGCGGGTTTATAACAGAAGTTAAATTCATCCACACGAGAATGAAAAAAAGATAAGTGCAGAGACAGAGAGATGGAAAATGGAACTTTGCCTGTTGAAAAGCTGAACATTGATGAAGGAAAATATCTGTGTGAATATTTTATGGACTAAGAAGGGAGGAACCTGCAACACAAAAACATTCGATATGATCATTTAATGCACTAATGGAGAATCTAATGATCGTTTAATGCCCTAATAGAGAATCTTAATAACCGTAAAAGGCCTTTTTCCGACTTACAAAGTTCGCTTTCATTATTGTCAAGTAACTGTTTAGGCTTTTCACAATACTTTGCCAATGTGCGATAAGAGCTTGTTGAGCAACCGCATTTGCTTGTGCTCGTCCTTTCACCAGACTTGCCCGTGACGTCCTTGGTGCCTGTTTCGTGTAAAAATGAATTTCATTAAACTCACAAAATAATGAATTACATTACAAAGATTCATCTGAAATGTTCAGGCGTTATATCCCCCACTAGCTTATCGCCTTTCTTTCCCGGAACTGCTGTATGAACGGAAAACCACACAAAGAGATTACCTGTATACATAACCCGAGAAGAGGAGAAATCTCTTTCTTGAGATTATCTCTGACCATCCCATATATCTTCTCGAGGAAAGCCGTAAGTTGCTGCTTGAAAAGCAAAGCAGGGTACTTTGCTTCGACTTGTCTCAGGTCGTCAAGCTTGCTAAGCCCTCGACTATTCAAAAATGAGAGTCCAGAACTTTGTGGAGATCCCCTTAATCCCTATCGAATTGTACAAAAAAAAAACCACGTGAGAAGAGCAGAGATTGAGAAAAAAAAACGTAAAGCATGTTGCAGCTGTTTACTTGTGACATCCTCCCGAAAAGGGAAGCTGAAGTTGTTCTTCGTCTCTGTGGTGTCAAACTAGCTGCCCCAGTGGCTTTGAGAGTTCGTTGGAGCAGCAAAAGCAACGTAGCCGAATTTGACAACCAGTATGTTAAGACATCATTGTTATCTGGAACCTGTAAGAGGCCAAACATTCTCGATGTTACAGATGCAGATGGTCAGAAACGAGCAATATAAAATGTGATGGTACTCTGTAGTGAAATCCTTCTAATTGGGAAGAACTTACTTCTATGGAAGAAGCTATTGTTTGAATGATACGGTCAAACACACTTGTTCTTTCGACTTCAAATGATCTCCATTGAAGGAGACATTTATATATGACACAAGCAGCAACAGGCTTGCCCCCCGAGTATCCTAGGTTTTGCGAGATACACTTGATGAGTAGATCCTGGTTCTCCTGAATAACAAAAATGGATGATATACAAGACTGCAAAGAACGGTATCTCGTTATTTATTGATTTGGACAGACAGTGTTACCTGTTGTTTTTCATTCAGATGCTTCTGTGGTTTCTCCTCAGACTCTGGCTCCCGCACAGCAAGAGCCGTGTCCTGAGACAAATATACAGAACATATAAACACAATATCTTTGCCTCCTTTCTGAACATACAATTTGTTTTAGAAGGAGTTTCCCTTACCGGTGTAGTTTTTGTTTCACCATTAAGAAGATTTCCATTCTCCGGAGTTCTCTGCAAATCGTGAACAAAATCATAAATGAAACATGTCTTTTGCAAGCTTACTTATACATAAAGCCAAAAACAAAAATGAAAAAAAAAATAGTTCCTACACTGTCCGTACCTGTAGAATCATCGTCTTTGATCGTACAGCCATAGTTCTGCTGGTTGGTGAAATAGCAAGTGCTTGTTGACGGAGCACTTGATTCTCTGATTCCGAATTAGAAAGTTTCTCTTCCAATCTAAACAACAAAGCAAACAGACTTTCAGAGGTCTTGAAGAGCACGTATAAAATCCAATCTGCTTTAGAAAACGAAAAGCAAGAGTTACATATTCTCCATCCTTCATCTACAACGGGATACTGACCTTTGTACTGATTCTTGAAGCTGATCTGCTTTTTTAGCAGCATCTTCCAGTTTTCTGGCCAGCTCCATATTCTTGGCCTCTGCATCAGCGAAAGCCTTTTTCAAGTTTTCAGCTTCTTGCCGTTCTGATTGCAGCAAAGTCTGTGTAAAAGATAACATTAGCCAACATATTTGGAAAACAAAATTAAGAGCAAGTATCATGGAACACATTAAATTAATAGTCACGGACCGTTTTCAAACCACTCTCTGTAGAACAGACATCATTGTTGCATATTCAGTAACTTTGGAAGTAAAAAATTCAGGGGTGGTCCAAGGCAAAAGAATATATACCTTCAGACCCTCCACCTCTGCGGTTAATGAATTGATTTTTTCAGTATCCTCGACCAATACCGGAGTCTCCTTCACAACTGGAGGTGCTTCTTCAATAGCCTTCCTTGCAGCCTCGCGTTCTCTAATCACAGCAGTGTTTGCTTCTTCGACTTGCAACTGCATTGCTTGCAAAGTCTCCTCCAGTTTTGCAACTTCTTGGGCCTTTGCCTCTTCCAGCTCAGTCTATATGCCAAAGAGTTTATAGCGAAGAAAATCAGAATTCTTTATATCAGATCAAACTCGCTACCCGTTTTTATGTTAGTAGGAATGCCACAGGATATACCCGACTAGAATTTAAATGAATATAGCTTACTCTCTGACGCTTTTCTAATTGCAGACGCCATGTCAGTTCCTCAACCCGCTTTTCAAGCTTGTCTTTCGCCTCCTTAAGAGCTCCAGTTTCACGCGCAGCCTGAATCAATTTCATTAGAAAGGTCAATCCGATATCCTCTAGACAATGTGAAAATCTGCCACAAAAAATTGTTTAGAAACTGTCAAGAGATATATCCTGACCATCTTCAGCTTCCTGAGTTCTCGTCGGGCAACCCTTCTCCTCCAGCCACATTGTGAAAAAACAGCAGCCCGTTGAAGTTTCTTGTAGTAAGAATATGCCAGATGGGTACGAAGACGAGCCTAATATGCAACACAAAAACAGTAAGATTTCTGATTCTGAGGAACATTTTTCACATGGAGAACCACGTTTTCCGATTTCTTAATGAAAGAAAACAAGGATGGATCAAAAAGAGCTTCATGTTAGGACCTGAATAATAGTAGCAGCCTTTGTTTGCTTTCTGAATCTGAATTCATTGCGAGCAACCATTCCTCTTAGAGCTGTTTGGACCATTATGGCTGATTGTCTAACTCGTACATATGATGTTCTCTCTACATGTCTTCTGAAGTTCTTCTGGATCTTCACAGCTGCCGCTTTACGCCTCATTTGCTCGTAAAGGTTGCAGGCCAGTTTTCCTTGCATCAAATAAGAGATTTCAAAGTTACCAATCAGAATCTTCCAAATACTGAGTTAAAATATAAATATGATCATATCCACATGTTTGCAAAAATTTGCAGTACAAAAATCCCAGAAAAACCACAGTACTGCACGATTTTGATGGTTTGTCAGAGGAAAGATTCAAAAATTCTGTATCCAATATTTTATGCAGCTATAAGAAAAAAACAATAAAGCAAAAAAGTAAATGACGATACCTCGGCAATTCGACTGTAAAACAATTGCAGCTCCACGTAGAGCAAGGAATTCTTTGCGTGCAATATAAGTACGGATTTGTCTTTGGATTCTCCTTGCTGCATTTCCAAGCACCTCTGCTCTTCGTGAATCCAACTCGGCCATCTGCCCAGCTCTCAGGAAGACCTTTGTCTTCCCTATCTGCAATGCGAGGATTGTTAGATAAATTACATATCATACCTAATCCCATGCTCAAACATGTCAAAAGTGGATTTAGGAGCAGGTTTTTCAAGAACGAGGTATGAAACCGCTTCATAATGATTGTTTTCGAACGAGGTATGAAACCGCTTCCATTTACACTGCACAAGTACGAGAACATCGGTAGGATGGAGAACTCCCTTTCTTTTTTTCTTTCACCCTTTTTCCTCGTCCTTTTCGGTCTTTGAAATTATAGCAGACATTAATTTAGATTTTATGTTCATAATTGTTTGGGGTGGTGTATCGAAGTTTATCCAACACCTGAACTGATGATTGAGTAAATAAACGAAGCATGACTTACTTCATAACCCTTTAATCCCATCTTATCCAGAAGCATTCTGCAAGCAACCTTGTCATCATAACTGCATAGAACAAGGAACAATCACAGATATAAAGAAGAAGGCTCAAACCATATGTTACAAAGAGAAAATTGCAAGCAAAGCAACAAAATATAACCGTGTACCGTGATGAGGATGAATCAACAGATAACATGAAATCACGAGAAAAGAGAAATTGCACAATCAGAAACTTACTTTCCCTCCAAAACTTCTGGAGCAAGAACACCAAAACGATTGAGAAACTCATAAAATGTCCTCTTAGTGGGATACCCTGCACAACTGATTCTTATTGCTTCCAGAACACCCTTAACAAAAATTAAGAACGGTTATTATGCTTAGGTTTGAACAGGTCTAAGATGCTATATACCATGATTATTCAAACACGGAGAGGGAAAGTCTATATACTTACACCACAACGTAACTGTTGAATCACGTTTACATTCTCAAAGATTGCCGGCTTAAGTACATTGTTTGGCTTCACACATCTAATGTAGTGAGGCTCAGTTGAACTAAGCGTCTCCATCAAAGATTGAAGTTGAAGCTAGAATTTGACAAAGAGCTGTTAGTGTTAGCGAAAGATAAACTGTCTGGATGAAAACTTGACGTCAAATGGAGGAAGCCACCCCATAAAACACCACAATGTACAAAAGAAGTCAATGTTGTATCAGCTTGATACATAGGTCCTCTGCCAAGCACTCAGGACTCAAACGTTACAGTTAAGTCCACTATCTACAGAGTACAGACCACTTATTGTGATAATTTGTCTCAAGCATCAATTATAATTCCTTAAATCTCTAGTGGACTAGCATGGTATATGGAAATAATGTTCGAAAGAGCGGAGAACTCGGTTTATAAAAGAACTATACCTTAAAACGTGACCCGATGGAAGAAAATTTGGTTTTATTTGATGTTTCTTCTGGAAGACGAGGAAATAAACCTGCTACGAAAGAACAGCTGGAAGCTGTCAAGAGGTCCTGATGTTCTGCCACCACATAATCTTTGTTCTTGTCGAGGAACAGGTCGGCCTGATAGGGTACCTGTTCAAGAAAAAGAAAAAGGTATGTGAACAGGAAATATATAAACTGAACAAATAAATTCTTTTTAAAACTTTGTTTTCACACAACAAAAACTCTTATTGATAACCTTGTCCCAATGATTTGCATCGGGGTATAATCTTGTAAGTATACAAGAGATTGTTACCTCTCCAGCATAATGTGATATTGTAAAGCTGGTACGAGATAGCTTTGGCTTGCTAAACCGCTTGCTGTTTTTGAATGTTTGATACAATTTCTGAGCAAATGTTTCATGTGTTGACTTTGGAAACATACTGCGAAAAGAAATGAACATCAGATATAAATCTGATCTGAGCCAACCTAAACAAATTAGTTCAGACCACTGAAAAAGTAATGGATATGTAATGAGTGAAGAATTCTTTCAATAAAGCTGCAGATTATCTTCTGTTCAAAAGAAATAAACCCAAAAAGCTCAGTAGGAAAAATGTAGCTGCATACCATGCTTCATCTAAAAGGGCAATGACTCCTCCAGGTTTCTGAAAAATATTCACCGGGTAAACACACTTGCATTACAAATACACATATGTAGAAAGAAGCATAATTTGCAAGAAACAACAGTAGAATAACTGCATTATGAATATAATTAGTTAGGAAACAGTAGGCCACCTTCTCAATGAGATCTAACACATCCTGGTTATCAACAAATTCTATGTAACTCCAGTTGATTTCTTCTTTGGTATACTCTTCTTGTTCCATTTTAAAGACATGCTGCAAACAAACAATTATTGTACGTCAATATCAAGTAAAACGTCACAAAAACTTATAAAAATGCTACGTAGTTAGAAGCTAACTGACCTGGTTGAAATGCTGTTGCAGCTTTTCATTGGTGAAATTGATACAAAATTGCTCAAAACTGACGAGAAAGAAACAACCACGTAAAATTTAGTTTTGCTCTACGTAAATGTTATCCAGGGAAATTTTCTGCAAGCTACAGTTTACCTGTTGATCTTAAAGCTTTCAAAACCATAGATATCAAGAACTCCAATTATTGTCTTGGAGTTCGGATCTTGCCCAATCGAACTGTTGATTTTCTCCACAAGCCTGCAAAAGAGGTTGTCACAATCTACAAGTCGGAATTGTTGACCAGCTTTGTTGCTGAAGGATAAACCAAAACATTGACACATTTTCCGGGGCATGTGTTCTAGTATGAACATACAATTTTAAAAGAGAATAAGGTCTTTCTTTGCATACCAATCAAATAATCGAGAATAGGTGGTTTTAGCTAAGGCATCCCTGCTACCCAGTGCTGAATCGGGATCAAGGGTTCTCGTGATAACCTCTTCGGGTGTCACCATTACACGTTTTATTAAAGCGTCTTCCAAGCTCTTTACATCACACCTATTAATATAAATAAGCTGTAGAGCATAAGGGGTACAATAAAGAAATAGACAGGAATCAAGATCAAGCAAATAAGTAGTACTTACTTAAGAAGCTCCGCCACTGTATTAAGATGGAATCTTGATTTCTCATCCTTCAGGACCGAAGAGTCCACCTCTGGTCCTTTCGCAAATTCAACGTTACCTAGATGCAGGATTGCAGCAACAACTCTAAAAATTGCATCCTGAGAGGAATTTACCAGAATAATCAACAAGATATTTTACAGCAGAAAGCATGTCATTCTTAAAAAAAGACAAAATGGAAGGCTTACCTGTTCTTCCTCACTGATGCCGACAATATCCATTGCTCTTCTCGTAGCAAGGTATTCCTCGGTATCATCAACTCCATCAAGCTTATAATACTTCGATTGATTTAGGTAGTGGTATGATTGTGGGTCACCCAACTTGAACTTTTCTCGTTCCTGCACATTTGAAGAGTATCAACAATCCCCGTTCATTTCAGCAGTGTGCCACTAAAAACGCGTATTCATCATCCACCAGTGAAGTAGAATTACCTCGGGAGGGGCAGCACACAGAAGGTAAAAGCAGTGGTAATTTCTTTCAGGGTCCGAAATCTGACAGACTCGAGATCTTTCCAACAGATATGTTCGAACAGCTGCTCCAGATATCCTCCCACTTTTGTCAAATTGAATCTCAACAAACTTTCCAAATCGACTACATTTTGATTCCAGAACAACAAAAAAGGAAATCCGTAATTAGAGGACAGATCTGTGTTAGCAGCTTTTCCACCAAGTAGAACTCAAAACAATGCAACTCTAGAATATAGTAACCAATTGCATGACCATAGCACAATAGCTCAATTGGTACCGGAAACAAATCAATATGCCATAAAATTAACACGATGTAGCTCAGATTTCATTTGCATTGCTGCTATATAACACAACTGGTTTGCTGGGTTTTTCAGGTACTAATCAACCAAAAATTTAAAAAGCTCTGAACCATGTGAATGTGCAGATCCATAAAAAGGCCAAGAAGGATTTCTACTAAGGATGAGCATACACATACCTCGAGTTGTTGTTCCTAACAGTTTTCGCATTGCCAAAAGCTTCAAGAACTGGATTTGACTGTATAACCAATGACAAAATTGGAGCAGTTAAACGAGGTTATTAACTTTATCACTGATAGCATCGTGATAGCTATACAATTAATACAGAGGCTTGTCCTCCTCTTCATGAGAAACATGCAAGAGTTTACGGACTCACCTCCAGAACTTGCTGTTCAACTGTCCTTCCTTCAACACCCGATCGACCTCCAAGGTAAGCAAGGTAACGCATAAGCATCTTTGTGGTCTCAGTCTTACCTGCACCACTTTCCCCACTTACCAAAATTGAGTTGCTCTTGCCCTCGTTGATCATTGCCCTGCACACATTAGTAATACATCAGCATGGGGAAAATGCAAAATCTCTAGGGTTTCCACCGATGGAATCAACAGCAATAATTACCTGAAAGCGACCTCTGCAATTGCAAAAACATGGGGACTTAACTCCCCAAAGCCTGCTCCTTTATATTGCTCCATCATATGAGTATCATATAGATGCGGTAACCTTTGGAATGGATTTACAGCAATCAAAATGTTTCCAGTATAAGTCTGCAGAGTCATGAGAGAAACAATCATCAAGAATGCTGTTATCGTCCTCATGATTCAAAATGCAAGTTTCGAAAGTATATTCCAGCATAACTTGTAAAAAATTTTAAAAGTAGCTGCAGAAAAACTTACATAAATTTCATTCAGCTCATATCTCATGGCCAAGTTATGCAAAACGCCTGGCTCATGTAAATAAGAGAGCTTTGTCATGTCATCAACACCCCCAGGGGGGGCCTCTGTATCCTTTGGAAATACTTTTGAGATATTTGCCACAACCTGCCATTAAATTTCGCTTATCAATAATCACAATATGCTATACGGATTGTCGTTATATAATATACCGCAGGGTTATGCATGTGAAATAAACTTTGACAGGAGAAAGAAGTGACCGCCTAACAAGAAACTCATATACCGCAGGGTTAGGATAAAGTGTTCAAGCCATTGTGTTCGAGGCATACAAAAACATAAACAGAAACCTTGTCCAAAATAACCTCATCCCAGAGACAACATTACTGGATAGACAACTTACATTCTTCCCATTTGTGGTTTTTACATGAAGTTCTTCACCATTGATTTTGACAACTTCGCCATCAATCCATGCTACTTGTGAATCTTCAACCCAAACATGAGAGCCAACTATTATGTTGACTGGACCGGTCTGCAGAGAAATATAAGGGTAAAATATGTTAGACGTAAGAACTGAATATTAGTTGTTTTGTCATGTCATGGATTCAAGCATTCTGCTTAGCAATAGATGTAGCAACCGCCACAAAGATGTTAAAATAAAATTTATATAGGACAAATTTAATGAATAAGAAAAAACTTTGAAAAATGTTTTGCATGAGTTTTGTATGGATCCTGTGACTGAAGGACCGCAATTCATTTGGCTATAAGAATTGAATGTTACAGTTTAGGTCTGATATACTAAGCACAATAAGATTGACCACTTGCCAACAATAAGAGAGACCGCCGGTTATCTCCAGCAGGCATCTTCCGGGTTTTCATTGCTTTGCTGATTTAGCAAAGGTTATTTCGGAGCTCTTTGAATTTAGTAAATTTAAATGCGTATAAAAAAATGCACTGAGGAACAAACAAATAACAAGGAATCTACTGGAACCGATATTTTTTAGGAAATAATACCGATATCAATGAGGTGATTAAATATATCCAGTAACAAGTAACATGATAACAGAAACGTCAAAATCAACACAAACGAAGATTTAACCTTCTGGACACAAAGAATTCCATATGCACATAGAAAAAACATGGCATGCACTGCTAGTACTTTCCAAGCCAATAAATAAGTTACATATTTTCATGTTGGCCCTTTTTTCTCCTGAATTGGCTTTCTTGGTTTTCTTAGGACCAAGAGTCATTCGTTCTTGAGTTTTAAACTCTTCCTTGCTATGAATGACTAAACTACAATGGAATTTATGTGCCTGTTCTTTGCCAAACCCAATGAAAAAAGCATAAAAAATCTAATAATAGAAGATTATAGGACCTCATTATTAAATTGAATGTCTTAAGCAGGTCCAGCAGAGAAACTAATAATAGAAATTGGAGTGTCTAGAATCATAAAGCCGCTGAGCAAATCTCAAATGTACTGCTACTGCTACTTCGAAAAAAAAAATGAATTCCTAAGTTTTAGATTAACCGATTGCCGTCAATGTCCTAAATCGAACCAAAGAATTGGATCCCGAATCAAACCTCAATTCAATGCATCAAAGGAGAAAACTATAATTTTAGGCGTCATTCATTCTTTCTGCTGCCAAACTCTCTTATGCATCAACTTATAAACTAACATTGGGATTCAATCTCACTGGCAACCATTTCATTATCATCATCATCATCATCATCTGACGAGAACTCAAGAACCTGAATTTTCTTTTTCTTTTCTTTTTTCATTTTCCCTAAAAGATCAAATCTGGCTAGAAGGCTAACAAGAATCGCACGCTTGTCATTTTCCCACAACAATAAGTTCGACAAGAAGTCGATCAATGGATCGACATCGAAATATACATCGAACAAAAAGATCTCCACCAACGAACACTAAATCAGAATGAAAAACTTTTCCTTTATCCCAAAGAATCCAAAGATTCAATCCATAAAACTCGTGCAACAAAAAACAGCAGAAGCAATCGGAAGAAAACAAAAAAAAATGCTAAGCTTGTAAAGATTACCATGATAAATCCTTTCCCGGGGAATATCTCCTCTTGTTCTCTAACTCATCCAAGCAATACCGAATTGCGTAACCCTGACTCACTGAGTCGGGCGACGAGGCGTTTCAGATCGGAGACCAGAAGGACCGATTTCGTCGCCGTTAACCTCAGAAGCCCACCAAACAAGTCAACAGAGCAGATGTCGGAGATCGGAGCTTGGGAACAAGCAGACAACACAGGTGACGGGAAAAGATTCGGAATTTCTCTCTCTAGAAGTTGAATCGGAATTCTTTCTCTCTCTAGAAAAACCTTGCAAACAGGTGATGAACAAAGGTTGTAGTATAGCTTTTTCTCTCTCCCCTCGAGTTTTTTATTTCGTCTTTTGAGCTGTGCCAGTCTCTCTCTAGAACATTTTAATGGTTTTTAAAATAATTTTAAAAATAATAATGCGGGGAGTGGGCTCCACTCGGAGGCGGAGGCCGGTCTGAGTTGGACATTCGTGGTCGCCACAACCGATCATCTCCTTTGAAACGCAAGCCGACAACGCTGAGAGATCGTTGGTAAAAATAAAAATTAAGAATACGTTTTGTCTTTACCCTTTGACTTGATGTTTTTTACAGTCGCATGCCATTGTTTTATGATTAAATTTCTTTAATTCTTTTCGGTTCTGTTTTTTTTTATTTGGTTAATTATATCTATTTTATTGTGATTAGATTTAGTTTTCGAGCATATTAAAACATTAGTACGGTCTTCATCTCTATCCATCTTTTTGTGGTTTAGTTAATTTATTTTAAAAGTTAAAATCAATTAATTTTTCTTTTTAAAAAAGTGTATTGGATACGGATAGGATTAAATGTTAATAATTCAGTTTTGTACATATAAAACTGAAATATCTATCTTAGTACTGTCTAATTTTTTTCCATGGTGGAATAAAAAAAAAACTAAAATATTTAATGGGTTACATGTAAATAGATATTGATTGAACGTTTTTCCTCTGAAGAATGAAAGAAACTTTAAGAGTTATCTGATTATATTCATAAAATTAATAGATAAATCTATTAATTTGAAACTAGTCACCACATCAAAGATATCTTCCAACATATTTCTGGATTTTTTTATTATCAATGATAAATTATTGGACTGCCAACTCACTATTTTAACTAACCTTAGGGCACAATTTATTTTGAAAATGAGTATATTGGTTAATAGTAAACACTTAAAGAATATTTTTCAATAATTGTCACATGTTTCGTTTGGTGTATAACCAAATAATTTTTTTTATCAAAATGTTTTCTTTTTGCATCCCTCCAAAGTCTATTATCCAATGATTGAATTTCATACAATTCGTATGATACCTGCAAAATTCGATTTTGATGCTAAAAAAATAAATATCTAAATCGTTATAAAAATTAAGAACTTAGGTGTTGAATGAGAGATGGTTTTCGCAGTTTTTGGATTTTAAAAACTGAAAAAACCAACAATCAAGTTTTTTAAATTTTGGTTTTCCTAAAAACACGGAAATCTACTTTATGAAAAAAATCAACTAAAAACCAAAAAGTACAATTTTTTAGATTTACAAACTTATAAAATTCAAAAGCTAAAAACCAAAAATTAGAGCCAAAAACTCAAAATAAAAACCACTACCATTCAAAACCTTAATGTTCGGAAACTCTTCCAGAAATGCATATGAATTTCAGGATATATATAGTACCACTTTTGTTCTTTCATTCAATTTTTTTATCTTGGACCAACGAGTAGGTGGTATTTTGATTCTACGATTTTATTTTTACTCTTACTATTTATTTAATTTGTTCGATTTGATTTATTGTATCAATTTTTTAAACCCTTTTACCATTATATTTTTATAGTTTTTACTTTATTTTTCGTCTTTAAAATTTTAAATTCCTATCAGGACTATTATTGCAGAGAACATGACTAGACTAAAATTGAAAAGTTGCTTTCTAGTTATGAACAATTTAGAAATAAACTAAAAAACATGTCGGGCAATAATATCCGAGTTCGTAATTATTTTTTTTATATAAAAAAGGTCAAAATCTCATTAATCCTATAATCGATTCTGCTTCTAATTCTACAACCAAACACTCGTGCGTTTTCTAATTTCCATTCACCAACCGGAAGACAATCCTCGAGATTTTCTCCCTTTTTTAATGTTTAGTAGTATATAAATTAGTTCAATTTTTATACTTTTAATTTTTTAAATATTTTCTTCAATCGATAATTGTTTTAAATTGAAAATTATGGGGACGGGACGCAACATAATTGTAGAATTTATAGATTATGTTTCAATTGGTTTGAATTTTCTTATTAGCAATATGAAAAATACATTAACATATCATGTGTTTAAAATATATTCTACTATTAAAGATGTTTACTGTATAAAAATATTTGTTAGTTTTTTTTATTAGATTCAAGATTTTGTATGTATAAATATATTGTTTATTTCCATTAAAAATACGAGGTATTGTCGTAATTTTAGACATTTTAATACTTTATACAGAAAAAGAACTAAGGTTAAAAACTTTAAACTTTTAAACAATAATACCACCATGTGTTCAATTTTATAATAATAATAATTATTATTATTTTGTATTCAATTTTATAATAATAATAATAATAATAATAATAATTCGAGCATAAAGGCATCGAAAGGGTAACATTGACTAGTATTTTATTTGAATTTTTACATAGTTCGAACTAATGCAGAAAAATCTAATTGTTCGAATTTCAGATAATTACACGTATTTATTATTTGTCAAAAAAGAAAATATTTTTTTTAATGTGAGAAAAAAATACATGATAGTGTTCAAAACTCCAGACGTGACTTCAAGGGCTGAAGAAGGGATATTTTCTAAAGATCTGAGAGAAAGCAGAAGCTGTGTAATCTCGAAACTCATCGTCCGCATCCGACATCTGAGTCTGGAAGAGAGATACGTAGCCATGGAGACAAGAACTTTGGCAATGGCAATGTTGCTGTTCACTGTTGTTGCATCCGTTTCTAGGGTTTCTTCAGCTTCTTCTCCAGAAGCCGCCTTTGTTCAGAAGACCATCTCTTCCCACAAGATCGTCATCTTCTCCAAATCCTACTGCCCGTAACTCTCTCTCTCTCTCTCTCTCTCAGTGATCTGGGTTTTTGTCGGAATCGATTTTTTTTTCAGGAAATGGGATCTGGGCTCTCTTGGATTCTGTGTTCTTTAGTCATTCTGTGTTAGAAATTGATCTGGGCATTCTTGATTTCATCTGTTGGAACTTGCATGCAGGATCTGTAGTGATCAAAATGATGGTAAAATTCCAGATGCTGCATTTAGATTTGTACCCAACTTGAATGAACCCATTCAGATGGTTCCTTGTTATGCTCCAATCGATTAAATTCAATTAAAGGAGCCGTCTTTATCCGAACTGGGACATGCTTTAGAGATTTCTGGAACGATATCTATCTGGTTTTGCATCTATAAGCTCTTTATGTTGGAATCTCCTTCTGGGTCTTACTCCAATGAATTAAGAGCTTAAGTCAATGTACTGTTTCTGTTCTCTTGCATCCTGAGCTCTGTGTTAGAAACTCCTTCTGGGTTATACTCCCAATGAATTTGAGAGTTTAGATATTGTACTGTTTCTGTTCTCCTGCATCTTAAGCTCTTCATGTTAGGATCTCCTTCTGGGTTTTACTCCAATGAATTAAGAGTTTAGATGATGTACTGTTTCTGTTCTCTTGCATCTTAAGCTTTTTATGTTAGAAACTCCTTCTGGGTTTTACTCCAATGAATTGAGAGTTTAGATAATGTGCTGTTTCTGTTCTCTTGCTTCTATTTACATCTTTTTTAGTCATGCAGAGATCATGCACTTATGGCTGCTTCCTCTCCCTTCTCTTTCCTTTGTCCATCCACAGGTATTGCAGGAGGGCCAAGTCTGTGTTCAAAGAGCTGCATCAGGTTCCTCATGTTGTCGAGCTTGATGAAAGAGGTGCTTTTTTCAAACACAAAGATTTCACCTTTTCTTTACAATTCCGTCTCTTAGAAGCACTAGGGATCTCGGTTCTTTTGCATTTTGATTACATGGGAATTTTGAAGGATCGGAATAGATAAGAATCAATAACAAAATCGGTATATGACTGTTGCAAAGTGAATTGGTGACGGAATTTATGTTTCTATGAATACTGTGTTACAGAGGATGGGTCGAGCATTCAGAGTGCAGTGGCCGAGATGGTAGGAAGGCGTACTGTACCGCAGGTTTTCATAAACGGAAAGCACATCGGAGGCTCAGATGGTGAACTTGCCTTTCTTTATTATCTGTAGAGACAAATCTTGTTTAGAGCTAACTTGTTATGTTTCGGTTTCGGTTTCAGATACAGTAGAGGCATACGAGAACGGGGAACTGGCGAAGCTTCTTGGTGTTGCTGAGGACATAAAAGAAGATCTCTAAGTTAAAAAAATGGTTAGAAGAATTGCTACCAATGTCTTGCGTAGTGGAGTTATACGCAATTCTCGACTACTTCAATCTTTACGTGTTTGGAATTAAATGCAGCTATCGGGTTTAAGCTTTAACGGATCCGATAATTTCAATAGCTTCAGCAGATATTTCCAGTTCCTTTACGCATTCAGTCTCTCTTGACAATGAGTTTCCAGAAGCATAATAAAAATGTGACCCTTTCATAGTATTTCGGCATTGTGGATTCGAGTTGCTAACCAGGTAAAGCTAGCGTCAGAACAGAAGAGATTCAGACCGAACTCGATGAAGATTACAGTTTCTGTAAGAAGAGTGGTAAGAGAAGGTGTTGAAACAGGAGGAGTTACTAAATGGTTCTATTGCATTGAAACATCTCTACCTTCTTCAAGGTTGTGTCCTTCCTTTGGTTGTTGCTTCGTATTTGCTTCAAATGAACAGTATAATGGCTTGAGACTGAAACATGGGTCGGACATCCTAGATATCGAGGCTAGGATGGTGCAAGTAAATTCTTCTAGGCGACAAACTCTTGTTCGGGCTCTAGAGTTGGAAATATGGTCTGGAATCAGCCGTCCACGCGATGAATATCTGAATGTCTAATATCATCATCTACTTAGATAATGTGTGTTTCCCAAAGTCCGTCCCGAATCAACCCGAAAATTATCGGACTTCAGGTTTGAATTTGTAAGTCCACCAAAAAAATTAGATTTTCGGATCGGATTCAAATATTATTATTGCACAAGTGAGATATGAAATGGGTGACCCGAAAGTAAGTGGGTTTTGGATTTAAGCCTATAAAGGACCAACCCAGTTCGTATATCTATCCTGTATATTGAAAAAGAGAACATAGTAAGCCACTTCACCTCTATATTTTAATGTAGAGAGGTGGATTCGAACCCGCGATTTCAGACCCTATGGTAAATGATTTTACTGCCGAGGGCAAACTTAAAAACCCTCGGATCGAGATTTCAGACTCCAAACGGTAATTGGTCCTATAGGCTCGAAAATTTTCGGACTGGCTTGAGGGCAAACTTAAAACCCGCGTATCGAATGTGAACTCGGATCAGGTCGGGTCGGTCCGTTTGGAGTCTGAAATCTTGATCATAACCGAGATTCGAAAATGTACAAATTATGAGAAGAAACAAAAAGCAGGCAGGGGTGATATAATACACAAATACTTGTGTGTGTGTATATATAGTTTTGGGTTGCAGTGGAGATTCAAGAGGAGCAAAGTCTCTTCTAAAGTCTGCATTTTAGAAGAGATACTGTACTGTGCGAAAGTTGATAGCAGAACCTATAATAAACCATCCTTATTAGCCAATTAAACAACATGCTTATACAAAATTACATATTCCGTCAAATAGTTTTTTTAGTAATTATATTTAAATTCCAAATACAATTTATAAAGTTTCGATTATAACTCTGTGAAAAGCTTCCCAATTTAATATGATCCGTGACCATAAATATTTAAAAAAAATATTTTCTAAATTATACACGAGGAAAAAAAAAACAATAGTTCTATTTATTTAAACATTTTACCCATTAATAAGTCTTACCGTGAAATCGCACAAGGGTTACCGGTCCTGAATAATTAAGTAATTAATTGATTGATTAAAGCGCTAACTATTTCAATGTAACCGGTAATCCCGGTAAACGACAAAGCATTTAAAAGGATCAAAAGCGGAGAGAGAGAGCGCACCAAAGTAGTAACAGAATCTAAAAAATCGAAAAGCAAAAAAAAAAAGAGAGGAGAGAGAGATAGAGAGAGGCGCAGTCACCGGAAAATGCTGACGTGTATAGCTCGTCCGAAGAAAGCCGGCGAAGACTCACCGGGTCAACCCGACGATCCGGACTCCAAGAACATCAAATCCCTAACATCTCAGGTACTCTCGACTAACTCAACTCCGTCCTCTTCCTCTTGATTTTGCTTGGTTGTTTGGTAATTCCGTCTCTGATCGGAGGGTATTCTCGTCGCAGCTGAAGGACATGGCGTTGAAGGCGTCTGGTGCGTACCGGCATTGCACGCCGTGCACGGCGGGTCAAGGCCGGATCAGGAACCCGACCTGGTCGGATACCGATTCGGACCGGTTTAGGATGTCGTACCGGCGCACGAACAGCTCCTCGAGTTCGTCGGCGACGGCGTCGACTCCTAGGGTTTGGGGGAAGGAGATGGAGGCGAGGCTGAAGGGGATATCGAGCGGCGAAGCGACTCCGAAATCGGCGAGTGGACGGAATCGGCTCGACCCGATCGTGTTCGTGGAGGAGAAAGAGCCCAAGGAATGGGTCGCTCAGGTCGAGCCTGGTGTGCTCATCACCTTCGTTTCTCTTCCCGGCGGAGGAAACGATCTCAAGCGAATCCGTTTCAGGTACGATTACGACCCCCCCCCCCTGTTTCTTCAAAACGACGGTGACGATTCGCTCTGGTTTTTCTGATCGGACGGTCGATATTCGTTGGGTTCATCGCCGCCGACTTTTTCTCGGTCGAAATTTCTCTATTAAAAAATCATTTTCCACATTGTGGGCGTTTTTAGTTTTTACATGATCATTAAATATATATATCTTATTATAATATTGTGATATTAATCATACTATTACATGGCTTATCTTATTATATATGCGATTGGATTATTCAGTGATATATACTGATTCGAATGCAAATAATAATTAGAAGATATTCGAATGGACCGTTTAGTTATTACGATTACAACTCGGAATTTAGATATGAAAACATAAATTTGTTACATAAAGATTAGACAGGCCCATGAGAGTTAGTCAATGTCTTACGTAGACATGTTGCGATTATTTCGCACATTATTTTATAAATGTGATTCGTTTTTATAACATATCACGTTTTTTGGGGAACTATTTATATTATAATAGCAATTATTATTATTAATATTAAGTTTGAAAGGACCTCCAAATTAGTTGGTGGAAAAGAGAGTATTTGATAGGTTAAAAGGATAATAAATAAACTTACTTAATTGCGTCTCGAAATCATGCTAGAAGAAAAGGGGATGATGTCATGCGGACGGTGAGATGATGTCACCAGTAAAAAGATATTGTCTTTATATGCATTCATACTGTTTGGTTGCTGGATCATTTTATAATAGGTCATTAATTATTTCAGAAAATAGAAAAAAATAATCCTAAAATATTTACAGAATACAAAAAATAAGATTTATTTATTTTCTATTTTTAATTGATTAAAGCTCAATTAAAATATATTTATTATCATAATCATTATTTAGGATAAATATTTTTGTTGAGATTTTTTTACTATTTAGAAATGAGATTAAAAAATATTTTTTTGATAAATTAATGAATATTATAAGTGTTCTGATATATTTTTGAAGATGATATTTTATTAAAAAAATTATAAATAATTAAGATTATATTCTGATATTTTTGTAAAGTTTAAACAATGTTATTTTAAATGGTTTCCCTGGTTTAAATAACGTTGGGGAAGAAAGGAATGATATGATACCTTGTCTTGTGGTATGATTTTATTCTCAGGAAAAAAAAAAGATAATTTCATTTTTCTCGTTTGTGAAAGTAATTTTTATGTTATTTTATTTATTTATTATTATTATGAAGAGAAAAATAGTAGCGGGGCCCACAGTTGTCGAGGAGAGTTTCACGCCTAATGAGAAGCAAAGGCTGAAAAGGTCCAAAAAGGAAACTCGGTGTGCCCTTTATCGAGGTGCTTCGTGGGGACATGTTTTCTCTGTGTTTTCCTTTTCTAAGTTTTATTTTTATTTTTAATTTGAAACTCTCACTCAAATAAATATTTACCGGTGAATTTTATGACTATACAAAGATTTCTTTTTTATTTTTCATTAGAAAAATCGAAAATGATGATTTCTATACTGTTGTTTTATATTTTTATTTCTATAATGATGTTTTTTGTATTCAATTAATTTAATTTAAAATATATAAATATATTTAAACAATTTTTAAATCAAAGTTACTTTATATATAATCATATTTCATCCAATTTTTGACCCAAAATATCCCATATAAAAATTATATGTTGTTTCGATTTTTTTATGTTATTTCATATAAACTTCGAATATTTTTTTGTCGGTTGGTTTATTCTTTTACATTTGTTTTTATAACAGAGAATATGGAATCCTCCATGAGCACCTTGTTCTCCGCGTCCATGTCGCTCTCCTTCCACGACTGTAGAAAAAATATATTTTTTTTCTTTTAACCCGCGAATATAAACACCAAAAGACAAAAGCATATATATATTTTTGTTTCGAGAAATAGAGATTATAGCTTCGGACTGCTCCTCCTCCTATGTGTCTCCTATGGAAAACGACAACCACGTACCCTGTTTTTCCTCATGTCCTTTTTGATCTTTGACTCTTTGTCTTCTTCCATTTTGATCTTCACCTTTGATTACTGTCTTAGTTTATATGTTGTCTCGAAACCTCGTCTTTTCTGGGTGTTTTTTTTTCTTTCTTTTTTTTTTGTTCTGTTTGAGCTTTCTGATACTTAGGCTTAAAGGGTATGCAAAATCATTCGAAATCTTTGAGAAAGTTTCCGACTTTTTTTTTTGTTGGAGAGAAATCCTCTCCTACCACCTTCCATTATTTCCTTGTACTGTAACCGTGTAATCATGCTAATTATTAACTTTGACCATTGTTGTCTTTATGTTTCTTGATCATTAGTTAGGCATTAACTATTTCCAATATTATTTTTTATACTTGTCCTGTGTTCCACTGTTTTTCATCCCAAACAATGACTTCAGTTTTCAAATGGTATTAGTTAGGGCTTATCCCCCTTTTTGACAATGGTTTCTTTTGTCACTGGTTAATTACTGCTCATAATTAGCTTAATTTAGTGTGATTTGGAATTAATAATACTCTTCTCTGATCATATATCTTCCTTGGGAGGTGTTGTGGCACTTGTTAAAACTGGAGTGAGTGTTTTATAGCTGTTAAGCTTAAACTTGGGAACTGGATTGAAATTTACCTCTCAATTGAGGTTTAAATCCTTGCTACTAGAGCAGATATCATCCGTGATTCCCAGGATTTACAGATATGACAAGCTAAAGTTAAGATTCATGCCTCTTTTTCAGCTAAAATCAAGATCATGTGTCAGTTCTTAAAAACTGACTGCATTATGAAACTTGTCAGATTGGTGTTAATAAGCTGTAGTTTCACGTTTTTATTCTTGATCAGCCGAGACATGTTCAACAAACTGCAAGCTCAACGATGGTGGGCAGATAACTATGACAAAGTCATGGAACTCTACAATGTTAAAAGACTAAACCGCCAAGCTTGCCCGCTTCCCGCGCCACCGAGGTCTGAAGACGAGGTAAGGTCTCTTCAATGTATTGCCTGAGAAAACCAAAACAAGCTGATGATTAACACATCTTGTCAAGTAATCTAATGTCCTGAATGGAAAACATTTTTTAGTCATGAAGTTGCTGTGGTCACTAGTTGGTGTATGATCTCATCATGGATAGAAGTCACCCCAAAATTGATAATCTGTGAAGGAAGAGTGCCTGTAGTCTTACAAATCTTTCTTATACTTTTGTCAATATGTTACCGTCATATGCTTTCTCTTTCATTATAGACAATGATTAGTGGATCATATCCTTTTATCACTCGCATATAGAAGCTGTGCCTAATGATCTTCTAGGCTTGGATTAGTCAATAGAGAGTATTCGATGATCTGATTTAGTCCATATGGGTAAAATCCTGATCGAGAGGATACTATGTGGATGTTTATATACTTGAAAAATTCCCATATTCATGATGTTATTGCTTTGAATGTTTTCCTAGAACGCAAAACTGGAGTACACAGAAGAAAGTCCTGCAACACCACCATTAAACGGAGAGCGGCTGCCTCGTAACATGCATCATCCGACAGGGTTCGCTTACTCATCTTCAGATTCACTTGATCATAATCCAATGCAAGGCCGCCACTTTTATGACTCTGGTGGACTTAACTCAACTCCTAAACTTTCCAGCATTAGTGGCGCCAAGATGGAGACATCTTCCATGGATGCATCCATCAGAAGCAGCTCGTCAAGAGAGGCAGATCGGTCGGAGGATATGTCAATAAGCAATGCCAGTGATCTTGAAAATGAATGGGTGGAGCAAGATGAACCGGGTGTCTATATTACAATTAGATCTTTACCGGGAGGTAAAAAAGAGCTCAGACGAGTCAGATTCAGGTAAATGTCTTCCATTGTTTTTACACGCTTTCTAGCTCACAAAATTGCCCTTCTCACCATTCAGTTAACCAGTTCTGATTCAAAATCCTCCCTCCCTCCCATAAAAGTTTTTACTCTTTACATTGATCCTTCATATGTTTTCGTATTCCCTTTGGATTGTCGGCTTATCGTTGCAGCCGAGAAAGATTCGGGGAGGTGCATGCGAGACTCTGGTGGGAAGAGAACCGAGCAAGGATACATGAACTATACTTGTGATCATCATCTGAAGTGAATGGATATGTGAAAGCTCGTTTTTGGCATCAGCCTTTGGTGGTATACGTTTTTCTGCTAAAGCTCCCTCCCATCTCTTCATGAACAAGAACTCCTTGCGCCTGAAAAAGAAATCTCGCAAATCAATGTGGATATATATATATATATATATATGAGCTGAGGAGGGTCGACGTCGTTTATATCAACTTGTTGCATCGATTTTGATATGTCTTCCACCGTGAAGGGGATGCTGCATTTCGATCGGTTGCTCAGAGTGTTGAGAGAAGGAATGGAACGATATATTAAGAGATTGCTCCTTCATGTTAATTATTATTGTTCTGTCTATGTATTTGTTATGAAAGTTATGAACTCAGTCCCTGTACTTTGGTTTTTTTTGTTCTTCTCCTTTTGCTCGTTGTAAACAGAAATCTATCATCACCCTGTTTTTTGGAGAGAAAAAAAAATTGGAAATGGGCAAAATAATTGTCATCATGTAAGGGTTCGTCCAATTACGACCACATTGATTTGTTAAAAAATAAATTAATTTTAATCCGAATCATAGAATTAAACCTAAATTTATAAATACGAGATATTGTAACACGTCAAAGAATATAAAAATTGAATAAATGTGTTATCTAAATCAATTAAGAAATCGAATGGTTAGAATGGAGGTCTTCTAGATCTACACGAATATGTGACCCAGTGAGTTACCACTAGTATTTAGTATTCTTTCCAAAACAAATTTATATAAATACCTCAATTTTATAAAATATATCAAATAAATACCCACATTTTTAATTTTATTTAATTGATATCTCAAATATTAAAATATTTTAAATTGATATACTAAATGTAAAAATATTTCAAATCCAACTATGAAATCGACAACAATTTACAACATCCATTTGTTTTTTATATTGGAATTAATATCTAATTTATAAATCATCGTCAAAATTGAGTTTGTAAATTATCACCGATTTTGTGAGGTTCGTTTTTTATGTTGGAAATTAACATATAATTTATACATCGTTGTTAGAGTAGAGGTTGAGAATTGCCACCGATAATGTATCTATTTAAAACATTTCAATATTTGAAATATTTTAACATTTAAGGTATCAATTAGATCAAATTAAAAATTAAATATTTATTTGATATACTTTGTAAAGTTTTTTGATGATTTTTTTTTATGAAATTTAGATATTTTATAAAATTGAGATATTTATGTGAGATTTTCACTATTTTTTTATTTTTTTCATTAAATAAGTGATAAATTATTTCTTTATATTCCATATATTTTTCTAAAATATCATTTAGATCTATAAATATTATCGCAATTGGCACAACTACACATAACAAATAATACATATGATATTTTTTTTTGAAAATATTCCAAAAAATATCAAATTTTTTCCCATAGCTTTGAGACTTTTTTTATTATCGCATTAAGGGAAATAACCAACCATGCTAAGTAAAGGAAATCCCAAACATTATATAACCCCGAAAAAGAAAAAAGAAAAATAAATGAAATTGAGAAAACACACCCATCTGATCCAAATTATTGCCCGCACGCATGGCGCCTTCACCTTTCTCATACAAATTATACATACATACACATGTATGTATGCATATGCGTGTGTATGAAAAGGGGCTTTCAGGTTTTTTCTGGGAAAGTGTCTTGGGAGAGACCAAAACGCCAAGCGTGTCTGTGTCCTTTGCAGCTTTTGTCATCTCTCCACACAAACATCTCCCACACTCCTGTGTCCTCTCTGTCTATATCTTTATACTATATTATATATATATATATATATATATATATGTATGTATATGTATATGTGTGTGTATTTTGGGAATTTAGAATTTACCCATCTTTCTGATTTGTACTGTAATTAACGCGTTCTTGTCAGCTTTTGATACTCTTCTCACCAAACACACTTGAGCTGCTCTCTCTCTCTCTCTCTCTCTCTCTCTCTCTGTGGGTCTTCTTCTCTCTATAAATACTTTCTTCTCTGTGTTTTCTGTTGATCCCTCGGAGATTGATTAGCAGAAAGTGAATTAGATCTCTAATGGCGTTTCCTCAGAGAAGAAGAACGCCTTCCTTCTCTTCGTCTCTCCTCGATGCTATCTACCGCTCGATCGACGAATCCGACGGTCTTGAAACAGCCACCAAACCCACTTTCTATCGTCCCGACAGCAACAGCAACAGCAAAACTGTTCCTTCATCGAACAAGAGAAACATCCTCTGCGACAGCAATAAGCTGAAGAGTCTCCAACGAGCCATCGCCATGGACGACGAAAACTGGGTCTATGCCCGAAGCAGCAGCTATGGAGGAACCACTGTCCATCATTCTAGCTCCAATTCTTCAGATTCCTCCAGCTCTGCCGCAACCTTTTCTTCCTCCGAGACCGAATCTTGGGGCGGAGAGAGAAGATCGAGAAGACCCGAGAAACTTGCGGCTCAAGGCAAGAGATCGGAGTCGGAGAAGAAGAAGAAAACCGAGCAAACCCTAGACGAGAGATTCTCCAAGAACGGAGACGGTAAGCTCAAAGCTGTGAGAATCTTCGAAGAGCTCAAGAGATCCAAGCAGCCGATTTCGCCAGGCGCTCGTCTCAGCAGTTTCCTCAACTCCGTTTTCCAATCCAACGCCAGGAAAGTGAAGCTTTGCTCCGTCGGCGCGACCAGAGACGTCAGGTCATCTTCCTCCAGGTCCTGCTTCAGCAGAACAAGACACAACACAGCAGAAGACAAGACCAAGAACGAGAACAGCGGCATGAAAAGATCTGTCAGATTCTACCCAGTAAGCGTGATCGTCGACGGAGATTGCAGAAACAAGAACATTCACGAGAAAAACCCGAGTTCGAAGCGGGAATTCCCTCAAAACAACAAGGGTGCAGGTAAGAGATCGTCCCTCGGAGATGAGCTCAAGATCAGTCATCACAGTGAGGTGACTTGTATAGCAAGCAAGGCCGGTCTGAAACATTTCTCGGGAAAATACGAAGAAGACGAAGATGGAGGAACAGAAGAGAACGACGATGTCTGGAGCTATTCGAGTTCGGATCTGTTCGAACTCGACCATCATCGGGCTCGTTACAGAGAGGAGCTTCCTGTTTACGAAACAACTGATTTCAGCACTAATCAAGCCATTGCTCGAGGCTTGATTCTGTAGCTTTTGAGTTTATTAAATTATCATAATTAAATGTCTTTAATTTTTTCATTTATTTTTTTTTTTCGTTTTATCTATCCAAATATTTTCGGTTTTTACGTACGATATTGGGAAAAAAAATATTGGATATGCCTTATTTTAAAAAGAATGTATATTTCAAATATATACGAATTCATAAAATTCTTGCAAACAATACCAAACACCTAGTAAAATACATAAACTCTTATATAATACACAGAAATAAATGACATATCAATAAACTTATATATAGATAAACTGTTTAATAATGTCTGAACTAATGATATAATTTGTTAAGTTGATGTGTTATTAGCATGGAATTTAATTATTAACACATTTTTATTTTATAGTGATTTGGTTTAAATTCATTTATTTTTACTTTGGGTTCTCAACTATTTTTAATTTTAATATATAATTTGATTTATGTCGGTTACATATATTATGTTCTCCAATTAGCTCATCATCATCATCATCAAATTTGAAAGGAGCAGGAGCAACCAAAAAGACACCACGTGAGAATACTATTAATTTCACAAATTGTAATTATTGAGAAATTGGAATAATAATAAAAAGGTAGTAAAAATAAATAAAAAGGCAGAGAAAAAATAAAATAAAGGGAGAGTTAGTGATAATTACTCCGTGACTTGAAGTCCAAAAGGGGAGAAAGTTAACTTCTTTTAATGTGACATTAGAGCACATGGCCTCAACCTACCGTTTTAACTTTTCCTTTTTAAATATAAAGTTTATATATTAATATATTATAATATATATATAGAGACCAAAACGCCAAGCGTGTCTGTGTCCTTTGCAGCTTTTGTCATCTCTCCACACAAACATCTCCCACACTCCTGTGTCCTCTCTGTCTATATCTTTATACTATATTATATATATATATATATATATATATATATGTATATGTATATGTGTGTGTATTTTGGGAATTTAGAATTTACCCATCTTTCTGATTTGTACTGTAATTAACGCGTTCTTGTCAGCTTTTGATACTCTTCTCACCAAACACACTTGAGCTGCTCTCTCTCTCTCTCTCTCTCTCTCTCTCTCTGTGTCTTCTTCTCTCTATAAATACTTTCTTCTCTGTGTTTTCTGTTGATCCCTCGGAGATTGATTAGCAGAAAGTGAATTAGATCTCTAATGGCGTTTCCTCAGAGAAGAAGAACGCCTTCCTTCTCTTCGTCTCTCCTCGATGCTATCTACCGCTCGATCGACGAATCCGACGGTCTTGAAACAGCCACCAAACTTTGCGAGAAAAGAAGATATTGGATGGAAACATCATTGTCATATCAAAATTATTTTCTATTGTGTAACTTAATAACTCAAATATATTTCCATGCATGTGTTCAAGTACGCAAATTTGTATTTAATAAAAATGTTAATTAATATTCAAAATTTTAATTTTGAACAACCAAAACCAACTGGATTATCAAAATACTGTATTGTATAGTTTTGGTCGCCGACTATTAATCTACATATGAAATCTTGATCGACATGAAACGGTCACAGTCTCATAATTGATGATGTGATAAAGTTAATAGTGATATAATAATTGTGTCTTTTTCTAAAAAAGAAATCGGATCTTTATCATCGATTTGGAATTTATTGTTAGTCTTCCTGTTTTTTTTTTTTAAATATCTTACGGATAGTAAATGTCAAATTGCATGCCCCACAATCTATTGTTTGTTCTCTACCCAAGAATTTGTACATATATTAAAGAAGCTCAATATATATATATATATATATGTATGTATATATATATACAGGGATTCAGAAAAAAAAAAAGTATTATTACAAACAGATACGATTAAAATAGAGATATTTGGTTGTGTTTTGATGATACATATAATTTCAAATAATTTTATAGAATTTAATTTAAATAATTGAAATTAATCTTATCGACTACTACCCGTAAAACGTACCCATTACTGTTAACCTAGTTTCGCATATATATATATATAATTGACAATGCTCGACCTTATTATATCTCAAAGACGACAATTCACAAACCAAATCAGTCCAACTCCGTAGTCCAATTTTTTTTTTTCCAATTTGGATGTATCGGAAATTGCAAATATAGATTTAAAAAAAAAACTAAATCAGTCTATTGGAAGATGCAAGATTGACATTAGAAAAGTATTTTTCTACTAATTTTATAAATTAATCAAAACAAAAAATGGAATTCCAACCATAAATATATATATATATATATATATATAATAAGAAAAATGGATATAAATGATCGAAGAAGAAACAATATTGGCAGGAAGGGGAGTTGGATGGGTGACAGTGTAATAAAGAGAGGATGCTGTCATGCTTCTCGCCAACCATGCACTAAATATATGCGGTACGTACAGTACCATTCAAAGCCATGCAAATTTATGTATATATATATAAAAACTATATATATATATATATGATGATATTAAATTAATTATTGATTCGTATGGACAAATGCATGTGCACCAATTAAGGCTATGTAACAACACCCCCATCAGGCCCCTATCTACTCTTCTCAAAGCTTGTGTTATGTTTCTCTCTTGTATACATCACTTATGTTTTTTTTTCTTCAATCGGATAGGATATCCTAAATCAAAATCCATATTAATTCGATGCCAAAAATCAGTCAAGTGATTTGGAATATGCGCTCTCTTCCAAAACCGATATTTAAATTCGAAACGGGATATATATTTTGCATCCAATTTCACCGGTTAAACTATCCAAATTCGAATACACATCACTTATGTTTCCGTCTTAATCAAATATCTCCATATGTTACGAATAATGTTGATATAATATATATATATATATATATATATATATATATATATGTATATTGAATAAGAGAGCACATGTATGTATGTACGTATGAGTCATACTTTCCTCGTTCTTTTTTGTGTGATGCATTTTGACTTTGACTAGAGATGATATGATATCTGTAAAACAAGAAAAAATAGTCTTTTTTCCCATTATTATGGTACGTAAAATTATTAGATTGTATGTGTATTTATCTGATTAGTATTTGAAATTCAGTCCCATGTGCAAACAAAAACATTTTAAAAAAATGACTCCCAATCGTCCATTTTATAACCGATCACTTTGTTGTATAAATCTTATAAAACAAGGTAAATGGTAAAAAACCATATACTTTTATTTTATCTCGATATAAACGTTATATTTATTTTTATTTTAAAAAAATTATATATAATTAGATTCTCTCTAAAATATTCGTATACTTTACATGTTATATCAATTTAAATCATACATTTATTTTCTGTTCTAAAAAACTCTTTACGATAAGATTATCTCCGAAAAATTCTCGTGCTTTGCATATATAGACCAAAATAACATCGTCATAAAAATCGACAAATGGTCATAGATAATATATCGCAAAAACTTATCATGCGTATAATAAAAACGGCCGTTATCGAAATGTTGCATAATTATTCCAATATATTTAATCCAAACTGATTTTGATTAGATTAATTAAACCAAAAATTCAATACCAAAATATATATTCGTATAGATAAAAATTGATTCACGATAACCTTATATATGGTCGTTATGTGTCAAATGGAATAAGATAGTAAGAATATGTTATCATAATGAAATAATTAATAACGAGTCAATTAAATCTAAAGTTATGTCATATCAATGTGAATGTATCACCTAGGATTTATGTATCTAGATTGTTTTTAATACATATAAGATTATTTTTTTACCACATATGATTTATGTATACCCATTTATCAAATAAAATTGACAGCGTTATTTTGACCTAAATATGCAAATTATTTTTTAGAGAAAATCTAATTATAAAAGTTTTTAAAAAAATAAATAAATGATTAAAATGGCCATAATATGAAAAGTATATAATTTTTTTGGAGATAATATTTTTTGGAGAATAAGTGCATGATTTAGATGGTCATAATATACAATGTATTGATGACGATTGTTTTTATTATTCGTAGGATTATTTTTTGTGATATATTATCAGAGCCATCTCAAACATTTTTTAGACCTTGTACAAAATATTTATTTTTATTATAAAAATTATTAAATTTAAAAGTTCAATATTAAATATGATTGTATTATGAATTATATTAAAATATTAATATAAAAATTGTAATTTAAAAAATAAAATTTATAAAAAATAACATAATTATATCATTTTATTTAAATAACATCATTCTTCTAACTTTATTTTAAGCAAAAAAATCTTGTTATTAAAGTATCATAAATTTGCAATACAATGATAATATTATCATTAAAAAATAAACATTGATAATATTTGTTAAAATATAAAAAACTAAAAATAAATATAATACCTTAATATTTGTTATGTTCGTAAAATAAAGAAAAAATCCCAAAATAATATCTGAATTTTTCAATTTTCACAAAATAAAACCTAAACTTTGTTTTTTATCAAATAAAACTCCAACTTTATTTTTCGGTCAAAAATAAATCTGAACTTTATAATCTTTGTCATTTTTAACCTTGTTGCTGACGTGACATTCTGATATCGTGATACGTGGACGATGATGTGTCAAATACGGTCAAAATATTGACTTGTCACGTAGGATGTCGAAACGCCACGTCAACAATAAGGTTAAAAATGATAAAGATTATAAAGTTCAGGTTTATTTTTGACTGAAAAATACAGTTGAGGTTTTATTTGATAAAAAACAAAGTTTAAGTTTTATTTTGTGAAAATTGAAAAGTTCAGGTATTATTTTGGGATATTCCCTAAAATAAAATGTGTAAACAATGAGAAGATATGAAGATATGAGATTGATTTTGTATAATAAATTTTGGATTGAAATTTTAGATATGGATAGTGTAAGATTAAATAGATTTATTTTAATTTATAGACAAAAAATTATAATTATTAATTATATTGATTTAATATCATAACATTAAAAGATTAAAAATTCTAATTATTAATAATAAATATTATAAAGATATTATTCACCTAATTTTAAGGAGTAGGACTCGGTAAAATCTGGTTTGATTTATTTATTAAATATTATATTAATAAATATTAATTTAAAACTAATAAATTTATATTAAAAATATTTTTAAAAAATATAATATCTATATATATATTGTGGAGCCCTGTGCTAAAGCACCACTCGCATACCTTCTGAACCGACTCTGTATATATTATATATGACCATTTGTTAATTTTTTATGATGATATTATTTTGGTTATATATAGAAAATACGAGAATTTTTCGGAAATAATCTAATTATAATTTTGTTTTTTTAGGACAAATAAGTATATGATTTAAATCAACACATAAGAATATTTTGGAGACAATCATATTAAATAGAATTTTTTAAATAAAAAATAAATATAATCGTTTAAATTAAGATAAAATGAAAATATAGAATATTTTTGACCATTTACCTAAAAAAATATTACTGAATTGGTCATTATGTATAAAGACAAGTTAATGCATTGGATTTGATGTTACTGCCTTTCTGGTACGCCCTCGATGGCATTCTCACGCCTAAGGCACGTGACCTGCTCCTACACATTTTGGAGGAGGTTTTTAGGTTTCTAAAATTTTAAAAACAAAAACAAATTGACAATAATTTTTTTATAAAAATAGTTTTCTTAAAAATTTGGAAAGCCGATTGAATCAAAAAATCAATTAAAAACTAAAAAACGTCATTTTCCAGATTTATAAAAATAAAAAATTCAAAACAAAAGTTATCACCATTCAAAACCATAATTTTATCAAATTCGATATAAAAACCGAATAGCAATGATATTTTGTATCAGTAGAAAAACCAAATGTTAAATCGGATATAAAAAATATAATTTGTTTAAATAATCTTGTCACCATTAAAAAAAGGAGCAAAACCAATCTCCAACAGAGCCGAATTTAATATAACATTTTTACCCTCCCATGTATTTTATGTTGGCCAAGGAATTCGAATACAAACAGCGTATAAAATCTAGAATGAGAAAGTGTTTCGTTTGTTTTCTATTTATAATATTTAACAATTATCCTATTGGCTTAAACCAAATTTTAAAAAATAAATATCCTATTGGCTTCATCATTAACTGAACATTGCTTAGATAAGTTCTATTACAAAACAGGAAGGCCACGTTCTGGAAAATTCGCAAAATAAGCTTTGCATATACTGACTGAATTTGTACCCCTAATATGCTAATAAATCTGAAAGCAAATCCACACAAAATGGGAAAATAATTACGAGAAAAAGGAATCCTTCTGGATTTGCGCGAATGTTAATGGAAATAAAACTTGCCCATGCACACAGGCCGTGTATAAATGGCTATGTGCCTGCCCTCCATATTTTATAAAGGTCAAACAATTTCAACTCCTTCAACCTCGCGAGTCGAACAGGTAGGCTTCAGCTCTATACATTGTATATATATGTATGTATGTATATGTTACATGTATATACTGATATCTTGAAATTCCACTGATCCTTTGCAGTGACATCATGGACCGTCTTCCGTCAGCATTCCTACAGCTCTTAACGCTGGCTGTTGTGATCCTCAGCTGCAACGTCCACGCAGCCGACAACATCGGCATTAACTACGGCCTCCTCGGCGACAACCTCCCTCCCCCCGCCGAGGTCATCGACATGTACAAGGCCCACAACATCGCGAAGCTCCGGATCTTCGACCCCAACCCCGACGTCCTCAACGCCCTCCGGAACAGCGGGCTCGAGGTCTACCTCGGTATGAAGAACCAGGATCTGCCCGGCCTCGCGGCGAGCCAAGAGGCGACCGACGACTGGTTCAACACCTACGTCCAACCCTACCTGCCCGACGTCAACATAGCGTGCATAACGGTGGGGAACGAGGTGATCCCCGGAGAATTGGGACCCCACGTCTTGCCCGTGATCAAGTTCTTGCAGGTTCACGTAAGGGCCAAGAATCTCCCAATCATGATCAGCACCACGGTGGCGACCTCGAATCTCGCCACATCGTATCCGCCTTCCGCCGCTACGTTGACGCCTCAATCCCAGGAGCAGCTCGTCCCCGTGATGAAGGAGCTGGCCGAGGCCCAAACCCCGCTTATGGTGCAACTGTACCCTTACTTCGCCTACGCGAGCGACCCGGTAAACATCCGCGTGGACTACTCGGTGATGAACGCGACCGAGGTTGTGGTGAAGGACGGGGAGTTGGAGTACAAGAACCTGTTCGACGCCATGTACGACTGTTTCGTCTTCGTGGCCGAGAAAGAGGGAGCGGGGAATCTGAAGATGAGCGTGACAGAAACCGGGTGGCCCTCGGGAGGCAACGGGGACCTGACAACACCCGAGCTCGCACAGACATATAACCGCAACTTGATGAATCACATCGCGAGCGGTGTCGGGACTCCCAAGAGGCCGAACATTGCCATCGACGGGTTCATATTTGCGATGTTCAATGAGAACCAGAAACCTGAAGGAGTCGAGCAGAACTTCGGACTGTTTTATCCCGACAAGAGTCCTGTGTACGAGCTGTTTTGATCCACATGTCCAAAGGACATTATTCACTAATTGTATTTCACATGTTTAATGTCTTTAGACATTTTCCATATGCTGTTGCAAAATAAAAAATGTACCGGTTCAAAATAAAGGGAAAACATTTTTTTTATATATATATATATCATTTTCTGAAGGGCTGATTTGGTTCAGCGGTAAAACCATTTATCGTGGGATCTGAAGTCACGGGTTCGAATCCACCTCTCTATACTAAAATGTAGAGGTAAGGTGGCCTAGTATATTCCCTTCCCCAGCACCCTCACTAGATGGGGATACGAACTGGGTTGGTCCTTTATATATATATTATTTTCTGTTCTATGGCAGAGTGTGGTGAATATCTAAGATGCAAAAGATTAAAATCTTCCAAAGGAAAAAAAGAATAAATAGTGAAGAAAATAAATGGGCACATCTATGTAGATCCTCAGGTTTAGAGAGAAAATAACAAGCGTAGACATGAACAGGCAGATGTGGTTAAAATCTCAATGTCTGAATCGTACGATTCGTACCGTCTTCAACATGTATAATATATGAAGCAAATTTGGCAAGTCGTCAAGATATATTATCTACGATTCGACGTACCAGAACGCACATACAGACCGATGTGTCTTGACGGATTCAGTGGCCGTATTTCTGAAATTCCCACTCGCTGTTATCTGTTCGAAACCGATGGAAACAATATGGGCAATTGGGAATGGAAAAACATCGAGGAAGATAAGAACTGGAGTAGATAGAAAGAGAGAGAACAAAAATGCACATACCCAATGGACATACTTGACGAGTCTTGAGCCATCGGCTGATGCAGTGGAAGTGAAAGGCATGGTTGCAAACCCCTGTCGAGTGATCAATTGATTCACAACATTTCTATTTTTATTTTATAAAAAATAAGTAGAAATAGAGATTCAGGAGTTAACGTTCATTGGTCGCATCATAATGATAACGTACATGAAAAGACTTCATTATATGAAGTGTAGAGAAATGAAGAACCCTTTGTCACTAAATTATACTTCCACACCAAAACTCTATATTTGAGAATACATATATCTGAAGATACCAAATGCGGTTAATTCATTCAGTTTGAGCATAAACTTGGATTCTCAACCCAAATATCTCCTGCTACTACATTAGCACATAACATGTGAAACCAACAGAAACACAAAATTAATAACTTGGGCTTGGCCCCTTTTCTTCAGAGATATGAAGTTTTATCTTCTAAATGTCTTTGAAATTCAAGTGTGGTTATGGAATACAAACTAATCTTATCAAAGATTGATGAATCTGAAAGCAAAAGAAATCCTATGCTTTCCAAAAGCTTGGACATGCCTTTGACAGCTCCCAAATCATAACCAACTGGGATTCCAAACTATGCATCAAAATTCTATATCCACCAAGCTTTTTCATTTTCCCATTGTCGACATGAGTAAATCAGCACACACAAAATCTTATCAACATCAAGTAAGCTACCTTCTTCATTCATGAAGAAAACGATATAGTTATACACTTTTAATGCAAAAACAAAACTTGCCAGCTAGTGTTTGCAGTAAATGTAATAGGACTCCAACTATAGAAAGACACAGCTGATTGTCTTTGGATGAGAACTAAACCACAATGTATTCTCTCAAGGTGAGAATGAACCGCAAATTTCATACCTTTTATCCCATAATCTATTGGTCTACAGTACAAAGTTTAAACAGAGCAATAATAAAAAAATACCCTATAAGCACCACACACCAATCACACCTCCACGTACTAACAAATAAAGGTCATTTGGCTACCACACAACAGCCAATTGTGGCAACACTTCATAAAATTACATTCCCTTTTTCTATGTCATTATAGCCAGCTTAAACCTGATCGAGATTCAAACAAAGGGAATTATATTCAAGAGTATGGAGAAAATCAACACGTACCCCAAGCAACGGTGCATTCCTCGCTGGTGGCACTGGCCTGATTAGCCTGGCATTCAATGCCTAACGATCACAAGAAGAAAATAAGTGAGCCCAAACATCGATTTTTCTCAAATTCGCACATCTTCGACAGATTTTTCTCCAACTTACATAGATCCATGATGTGGTTCCGGCAGATTGCGCAGTTGTCAACAACGATATCTGCAATCAAACAACAGCAATCAGCAAAAACCCTAGCTTACGATAGAGAACAAACCGATCGAGATTTGACGATTTCAGGTTAGAATTAGGCTTGAAAATACCCCAAGCCCAGAGCGCGACGGCACTCCACTTTTTAATCTCAAAGCGCTTCGGCTTCTTCGTGGAAGAGGAAGGAGCGGCGCTGCTGGAGCCTTCCCCGGCGGGAGCCATGGTAACACCGGAATCCAGAGACGCCATTGATCTCTGCCCGGTGAAGTAGAAAACTCGAGCAAAAACCTTAGAAATCGAAAGGAATGTCAATCTCTAAATGTTCACTCGGATGTTCATGAAAGTAGAGGAAGACGGGAGAAAATGACGGAGAGAAACAGGACTCCCTCGAGAGGAGTTTATATAGTTGGTATTTATTTGGAAAATCAATATATCAAAAATCGAGATAAATTAATTAAGTTTATAATTTTGGATCACTAAAATTATAATCTTTGAGAGAAATAATTTTAACACATGCCAAAATACTAATTAAAGTTTGTAATTGCGATCGATAAAATTATACAATCCGAAATAAAATAATTTCGGATATAATCTTTTACTTAATCCAAATTTATGCCCGAAAGCTTAGAATACAAACAAATTGTGTAATAGATGCGTTGGTTATACACATTCGTTAATAAGATTATCAAGTAAACAAACTTTAGCTATAGATTAAAAAAGCTATGCCAAATTTTTTCTTAATTGCTTAAATATTAAATAAATATAATATTTTTATACTGAGATAAAAATATATTATATTATTCCGCCCAGTCATATATTTACGATATTTTTTATATAATTTTATTGAAATTATTATGGTAAATAGTCTCTAGAAAATAATGTTTGCATTACCATGATTCAAGAAAAAAGAAAAGAAACAGGAAACCCAAGACCTGTCTTTCTTATGAACCCTAAGGTCTTATATGTAAATAAATAGAGTAATGGGGCAACAATGGAAATAAGAAGAAAATATGAGGACCTTAAAAGTTTAAGAAAAGTTGTTGCATTTGTGTAGG